AATTATAGGAAAGTTTTTCATTAAGGATAAAAATTCTTAAATTCTTACCACAACTCACCTAGCATCAAAGAAAAATTATGGACAAAAATTACAAAATAAATCTATGCATCTGTTGATGTCTTCATTAAAATTGATTAAAAAATGCTAGCAATTCATTTTAAATCTTTATTAATTATACTTTACCTTTCGTTATTTGGTCTGATTTGACAAATTGGATCGTTTATTGGCCTTTGGCTGAATAAATCGATTTTTATCTTCAATTAAGAACTATTTCAAAGTTATGACCAGCTTTGAAAAAGTTGAACCAAATTAACATGTTATGAAAATTTTTGACCAGTGGCCTTTTTTTAAGAATGAAACAAAAAATTTTTTATTTTAAAATTTTTAATATATATTCAAAAATGTCATGTTTAAGACAAAAAGTAAGATGTTTTAGTTAAATTTAAACTTCTTTAAAATATATGCTGATCATGGTGTGTTCATCTTGTCTGGTTTTCCACACATCCAAGTTTTTGAAAGCGAAAATTTCCTTTTTTTCCATAAAAAAAAAACTGGTGTTATACTAGTTCTTCCAGTCCCAAATCCATGATGACTATTAGCTAATATCATAGTCCAGTATCATTCATATGCAAATAAAATGCACTTTATAAAACCGCCGTAGAAGGGAATGAAAACCATTTGGAAGGGGATTAATCCCTTGGAAATTATTGATCACCACATGCAACCAAATCTGAATTTCTTATCATGGTTGAAATTTTTAATTCAAACTTCAATGGAAAAATGAAAACAACCTGTCCTTTGTAGTTCTAAATAAATAATTATTTGAATTATTATCCCTCCCAATACTTGTTCTACCATCCATTTACACATACTCTAATTAAATATTTAATGATGAGCTTTGCATTAATTTATTAAAATATTTTTTATATTTATAAAATATAATTGCTTTTTTATGATATTTTCAAAATTATATCAAAGCAATAAGAGAAAGTGACTGTATAATTCATATTGAATTGATATTTCTAAAAAAAAAAATAAAAAATATATAATTTTTTTAAATTATTTTAAAAATTGAAAATCGATAAGAAATTTAAGACAAACATCCTATTATATAATTATAATTATATATCTATCTATCTATCTATCTATCTATTCAATTTAACTTTATGTTGCCAATTTTTAAATAAAAATTATTTTTAAAACTTTTTAATGTAATAATTTTAAGAAGGAAAAAATATTTATATTTTTAAGTATTCCAAAATAAATTAGACGGGATTTAATTAATAACATTTTTTTTCTCAGATATAGACAAAAATTTTGAAATTATTTATTTTTTAAAAGGCTGAATTATGACGGTTTTTTATTTTCATTTAAATTGATCAAAATGCCAATTCTAAAATATTTATGAATTTTCTATGATTTTACCTGTTCTGAAAAAAATCTAAGCAATATTTAGAATGGACTAAAAATCTCCTACAGTCATCCATTCATCCTAACTCACTTGAAATCTATACCTCTCCTGCTTTCAATATATGAGTGTTAAATTCTCTGAGCCCTCTTTTCTCATAACATGTCTCAGAAATTTAAATTCATATGATTTCAAATAAAAAAAATTCTTGATAAAAAATCTGTTCAGACCATGGTATTTCCAGCATGTCAGCAAATGTCATTTAAAAAATTTAGATATCATTTTTCACCTGTAATTTTATTGTTCTTAAAAAAGTATATGAATTTTTGGAAATTTATATAACAGTTCAGAACTCTACTTATGTCAACAATTAAAAGTTTCTAAAAAAAAAAACTTTTGCTATTCCATTGTGCCTTAAAATTTGTTTAGGATTACCACCCAAGATTTATAATCAAAGGAAGATATTTTCCCCTGAAAAGTAGATAGAGATTACAGATAGAAAGATTTGAAAGATCTTCGAAAATTCAGATAGAAAGAAAATAAAAAACTACTGAAGGTTGCTTTGAACTCTTCCCATTTAATTTCATTTCTCATTTTTCCTTTTTGTAATATATCCTATTAATATATTTGTTAATAATTATTTCAGTTTAAATTCCATACCTTTGTCATTTATTTTTATTTCCACAAACTTTACATTTATTCCACCAATATTGTTTTTGTGTCAGAATGTAAATGAATGATTTTAAAACCTTTTATTTTTTATATTTTTTTTTTTGAGCATTTCACCCCAAATAAAGCAATAAATTGAATCTAGTACGCCTTGCATTAAATGTTGAAGAAAAGTCTCTGTGAAAAATTTGCTTCTTCTGAAAAATGTCTTCTCATTGGCCAATTATATTAAATATCCAACTCTGGATCTTGTCAAGAACCCGTTGAAAACAGAAAGGCACCAGACCATATATTTTTAGATTTTCTGAATGTTAAATGTTGAATTTGTAATGCACTGGAGGATCAACTAATCTGGAGAAAAATTTCAAATGGCTCAATATTGCCAAACTTTGAATTCAAATATAAAAAATTGATTCAAATGTTGTATCTTTTCATCTTATCTCAGGTCTAAATTACGTGAGACCAAAAGCCTAAATTTAGTTTCCTCTGTAGAAGTTTTTTTTGAAAATTTCTAATGGATGGAAGGAAGGATTTTACTGTGGTGATTAATCAGAGACAGTTTTTTCTTAGAATTTTGAAAAATGATTCAGTCAATTCTATATTTCGTTCAATCAATTGGAGGTACAAAAAAATATAGTTTGGCCAAAAAAAAAAAAAAGTGAGACTAGATTTGATTTTTTCATCCAAATAAATAGAATTTATCCAGACAATTTTTGTTTTTTTTTCAGGATATCTTGAAAGAAGGTCATTTATAAGATATATATATATATATATATATATATATATGGATATATATAGGAAGAACTGGAATTCAGGGATAAATGCTCAAGGAGACTGAACAGGTCACAAGAGCCAAAATTGATGAATCTCCCAACAGATTTCTGTGAAGTATTGTTGTCTCCCCTAAACAAGGATGAACACATGGAAAATCAATAATCGAAAATAAAATAAATAATATTATCAGAGTCAGAAGGGTATTTTCTTTTTTGTTTTAATTTTTAATGGTAGGAAGATAATTTATTGAAGTCATATTTCAAAGCATGCAAACCATCTCTTAATAGAGTTAAAAATATTATCCATGTTCTTGTACTGAAAATTAAAAATAACCCTTTCTCAAAGATGAGATATATAGCAACACTTTTAATATATTTCTCTTTGATATTTTCATTTTCTATTTCAGATGAACTAAATTTTTTTATTAATATTGTTTTATAGTTTTCAACCATAAATAACAGAAAGTAAAAATCATCACTGCAAAAAAATTTTGGAATCTGCTATAACAGACAGGTTTAAAAAAAGATAAAAATATTTCACGTTTATAACCATGGTTTTTTATTAAATATTTATTATTTTTATATATTTTTTTAGATGAATGTTTATAATATAAATATATAGAACTGTAATACGTATGTGAATTAAAGTCCACTTTCATCAAATTGACATGTCAAAACTTTACATGTTTTCTTTTCCTTTTAACTATAGATATTATTTTTATTTGTTATCTAACTCTGAAAAATTTTTATATTATATATATATATTATAATTATCCCCATGTTCTAAGAACTCTTTCCTTTTATTTGTTTATCGATATATATATATTTTATTTTTTTTTTTTTTATTTTGATATTGATATTTTTTGAAAGTAAAAATTTTAACTTTATAATACTATTGTTTGTAACCTAGAAAGTTACTGAATGAGGAATAACCAAAACGGAGGTTGGAAATGAAATGGTAATCTTTATAACATCAACAAAATACAATACTCGCCAGTGAATGTGAAAGGTAAACCACTACTAATGAAGACTACTAAGACAAAGTATTAAGAGGAGGATCGTCCAAAACATTGTCCAACATATTTATAATAATTGGGAAATAATAATATTAGCGTTCATAGTTATGGTTATATAACAATATTTTTAAATAAAACTTATTTTTTTTAAATTAAATCTAAAAATTACTTTATTTTTATTTCATTATATTTCTATTTTTTAAATGTATAATTTATTCTATCTTATATTTTTATTTCTAAATATTTTTTATTCTTTAATATAACTTATTGATTTTAAAGATTAAATATAACTTATTTTTAAATATAATTTTCCTTAATTTTAATAAAAAATTATTTGAATCTGACTTATATTTTAAATATAAATTGTCTTTGGAATAGTATGTTTAAGTATGATTTTGTATTTTTAAACATAACTTTATCCAAATAATTTAAGTTTTTTTTTTTTAAATCCCTTTTTATTCCTCTCTTAGTTTCAAATTAACATGTCATTCTTGATATAACCCCAATTTAATGTCATAAGGTTAATATCCAGGTTTAATTTTATAAAATCTCATCTTTTTAAGACAAATACCTTCCACCCTCCCTTGACCCCTGTCTCATGCTTTTCATCCGACTGTAACATTGAAATGGATAAATTCTGTATTAGTTTTTCAACATTTTTTTTTTTTGTAGCTGTCACAGTTAAATTTCTAATTCCAACCCAAACTCAGTCTGTATACCAGGGTTGAATAAGACTGACAAATTTTGTCAGTTGAAATAAGCTTATTCCCCATATGAGATGATTTTGGATTTTATTGCGTATTAATTATTAATAATAAAAATATTGAGCTTTTTTTGTGGATCAGTTTTAATATCTTATATTACTAAGATGCATTACATATCTTTAACTAGCCCCTATAATGTACCAGATCAATCCTTGCCAATATTTCCAGAACATAAGCCATGCACAATGTCAAGAAATAACTATAATCTAATTTCTGTTTTGACATTAAACTGAAGACTATATTACGTCATAAGATAGGTGAGAAATTTTAAAAAAAAATCCTGATTCCTTTACAAAGAAAATGTTTAAGGATTTCCAAATCAAGTAATATTTACCTCAATAATTTTACCAGCCACATTGGATGTATCTACCAAAATAGGGTTAAGGTAATCTCCATTGATTTCATCCGAGCTCTCCAGACCCTGGTGAGACCTTCGATTCATCTGGGCTGTGTATCGCACAACATTAGGGTGGACACCCCACATGTAGACATTACTGTCCTGGGTAACTGCCAACTGAAGATTTAAAAAAAAAAAAAAAAAAGAAATTAATCAGAATTTATTAGATTAATTTCTATTAAGATGTTTCTTGGATGAATATCTTACCCAGTCTTATAAAATTAATTTTTTTTTTTGTTGACCTTGCAATGAATATTTGCTGAACAAATACAATTTTGGTACCAAGTCAAATTTATGCAGTTCCCAAAGAGGATCAAATTTGTGTGCTTATATTAAGCCCACTGCCTCTACTGTTTGCTGGCAGGTGGCCTAGAAGTGAATGTTGTAAAGTGAATCATCAAATAGAAATGAGTTAAAAGCAAGAGTCTAGCAGAAGATATAAACAGTATGTCTCAATGTAGCAATTACTTAACAACTGATTTATGTAAATGAATCATGATTGCAAAGATGACTGTACACAACACCTGTTCACTTTGTGCTCCGATGGAAAGCTGCTTCTTTGTCTATCATACAATTTTCCAGCTTATGTAAATTGCTTCCTGTCTGAATTGGTTTTTATCTGCCAACATCAAAATATTCTTTGATTGTAGCATTCATGTTCTTACTTAATGTTCAGTCATTTTTCTTTTCTTTCTTTTTTTTTTTTTTTAATTCTTTTCGTCTTCTTTACATCTTTATCTTCATCCTTTGATTCATTTTCTTTTTCACTTTTTCTTCAGTTTTCTGATTCTTTCTCTTTTTCGACTATGACCTCCCTCTGACTTGACATTTTTTTTTTTTTTTTAATTTCACCGTTTTTGTTTTCATCAGCTTTTCTCTCATTTACTTACATCCATATTCTTTTCTCTTTTTGCTTCCCTGGATGTGTGGGCGGTGTAATGGATAGCAGCACAGAATAAGAAATCTGAGCAGAGTTCAAATTCCAGTCAGGTTCGTTACATTCACTTATACATAAATACCCTTGAAAAAGGTATAAATCCATCTCCTATCCCCAGTTATGGGTTAAATAGTATGACTTGTATCTGGAAAAATCATTGTTATTCTCCCCCAAAAAATTCTTAATACTTTTTCACGAAAAACGATTGTTACAATTCAAAATTTATTTTGGCTTTAAATGACCCACAAAGGGTTGTTAACCCATAAAAAACAAAACAATAAATCTTTCTTCTTCCCATAACACTCTCCCACTTTCTCTCTCAGTGCTTAACTAATTTCACTCAATCAACGCAAATTGTAAACAAAAAAAAAACAAACAAATTTCATTTCCTTTCTTTTTCTCGTTTCTTCTCATACTTATGCTTGTCTTCATTTTTCTTTCTCCTTCTCATTCCCAAAACATTGCCTTTCTTTCCTCCAATTCTCTCTCTTCATGCTTACCAATTCTCTCACTCTCTAATTATCTCCTTTGTACATTTATTTAACCTTGTGCTAATTAAACTGCACATAAAAATAAGGAAATCTAAGAAAGAGACATTTATAAGATTAATTTTTTCATGTATTCCAAAGAAGAATGAGCAATGTTATTGGTTCTGATCTGGCATCTCAGCTTCAGTCACATTCCCCACTGCCATAATGTTGCTTACCTGTGCCTGTTCTTTAGATAATTTCATGGTAATTGTTCAGATGAGATCTTTGCTATGGTACCTAGACATTTTGAATTTTGTGCAGTACTAGACTGGAAACAAGGTCTCATCAATTTATCACCGAGTTGGCTAAATATAACTGTAAATTCTATACTAACAGTTTTTTTTCTCACACTTCTCACTTGTGGAACTCCCTTCTGGCTGCATGCTTTTCCAGCCAACTTTAAATTTGCAAAAATTTAAATGCAATGTCAATCACTATCTACTGTCGTCCTGATTACTCTTCTTTTATTCTCGCTCCTTAGTAATTTTCTATTTCTAACTCTTCCATACCCAGTAACCTCTTGTGTCTTAGTAGCTTTATTGCCTTACTATATATATATATATATATATATATATATATATATATTTTATTAAGAAATGGACAAAGTCCAACAATTTATTTATTAAAGACATTTTTATGTTTAACGTTCTTTTTATAGATACAAGTATTTAAGTAAATGCTCTGTTTATAATAAACAGTATTAAATAACATTTACCGGCCTGAATGTCCGAGAAATTTTCATAAAAATATTCGTTCTTTGACAGGATTCGAACCTGCATCCTATATGAAAATTTCATTTTGCTGATGTGCCTTACCGATCGACACACAAATTCATTTCACTGCTCTATTGCGTATCAAATTTAATTTTATGTGCATAACGTTCTTTTTATAAAATGTCTTTAATAAATAAATTGTCGGACTTTGTCCCATTTCTTAATATATGACGTCATTTGTTTACATTTGATACGCTAGAGCAGTTATGAATGTACGAGATTCATGGAAGATTGAAGTTTATAAACAGTAAATTCGACCTTGTCTACCTATCTGAAAGGTTTTTTGTGGGCAATTTTGGTAAGGCACGTCAGCGTAAACCTGAAGTAATTTTTAAATGGCTAAAAATAATGTAAGCATTGATAATAAAAAAAGAAAAAGCCAACACTCAATAATATCAATTATGAACATGGCCACAATGTGCTGCCCATGTTTAGAAAAGAAAAAACATTCCAATCACTATGGATACACATATACAAAAATCCACATTTTCAGTTACAAATACAAAAAAAATTTATTTTTGATAATACCTAATAAAATAGCAAAAGCTCTTGGATATATAGAACATTTAGACAGTTTTACACACTTTATGCCCAGAAAAGAAAATACTTGTATGAATACAAGAAAAATTGAATAAAAAGATTAATTTTGGCATAGGATGGTATATCAGTTTATATTTTAGAACTGAACAGTTAGACTATCAACACAAGATTTGATTAGAGGTGAAGGCTTGTTTAGAAACAGTCTCACTTTTCAGAAGAACTGATAACTGTGAAATGATAAACAGTGTCTTACAAAGTCCTCAGCCCTTCTCAGGAGGGAATTCAGAATTTTCCTCCTCTTTTGCTGGTTGCCGACCAAAGCAAGAGAGTTCAGTCTGCCCTATTATTTAGATATTACTGGCAGTGGGGAGAAGACAGGGATCCATACCTTTCCCAAGAGTATTTGTGTGAAAAGCCAATGTAATCAAACTTAACTGGAATTGACTTATTGATTACTTTTTTCAGAGCCACGAACCCTAACCCCTGCACGCACGCACACACTAACACAACCCTTTCATATGCCATATTATCAACCATTTCAAACACACACTAAAGTTCTAAAATCACAGCAACCATTAACAAGCTGAGAGAAATTAAACAATTCCATTTTAATTTATCTTTATTTATAATAAACTTAATTTTAATTATGCTATCTCATAATCACTCATACAAGTGGACAAGACTATCTGGATTACAACATCTGCCTCAAATCTTTTTCACTAACCATCTCCAGGCTCACAGCCTATTAACTAGCCATATCTGGATTCATTAGATTTTCTCTGACCATATTCCTTTTTGCCAGCCATATCCAGATCCATCACCTTTTCGCCAGCCATATCCAGATCCATCACCTTTTCGCCAGCCATATCCAGATTCAGCTCCTTTTTGCGAGCCATACCTGGATTCATCACCATTTTGCCAGACATATCCAGATTCATCACCTTTTCACCAGTCATAATATCACATCTTGTCCCCATTCTGCAAGCCCTAAAAGCTCTGGTAGCTCAGTAGTTAAATCCGCTGCCATATATAGGCAGGCTTCCCAAGGTAAAAGGGATGAGAGTTTGTCATTTGAGGGTTATTCTTTATTCGTAATCCAACCTTTTTTGCCAAACACTGCCAGTTTGTGTAAGTTTCAATGAAAAACAACTAAAATTAGAATCATTGAAAATTCTAATTAAAAATTGATAAGAATTGACAATGCTTTGTCCAATAAGGTCAAATGAAATTCCATGTTGTGAATTTCTTTTTTTTTTTTTCTTAGAAAATAGGTAATAATTTTCCATAAATTTATATGAATATACTTTTAAATGTGTCCCAATCATAACAATATATGAAATGTAAGACAAATATGAATACTTACCGAATGGAAAGATTTAGTAGCCACTACAGATATCTTTTCCGGGAGAGGGACATGTGTAGGGAGGGATCTTTTCTGTCCATGTCCAAGTCCTAATTGACCAAAATAGCCACAGCCAAATGCATAAACGTCTCCCTGAAAGAATCATTCATGGGTATAAAGAGAGATTTGTGTAAATCATTACAGACAAAGGAATGTTAAAGAGAGAGAGAGAGAGAGAAAGGAATGTTAAAGAGAGAGAGAGAGAGAGAAAGGAATGTTAAAGAGAGAGAGAGAGAGAAAGGAATGTTAAAGAGAGAGAGAGAAAGAAAAAAATTAAAGAGAGAGAAGAGAGAAAGAAAAAGTTAAAGAAGAGAGAGAGAAAAATTGAAAAAGAGAGAGAGAAAAGGAAATTTAATAGGAAATGTTAAAAGGAGAGAGAGGAAAGAAAAAAAGAAGAGAGAGAGAAAAAGAAAAGAAGAGAGAGAGAGAGAGAGAGAGAGAGAAAATGAAAAAGAGAAGAAAGAAAGAGAAAGAGAAAAAGAAAGAGAGAGAGAGAAAAAGAAAGAGAGAGAGAAAGGAAAGAAAGAGAGAGAAAGAAAGAGAAAGAGAGAGAGAAAAGGAAAAGAGAGAGAGAGAGAGAAAAGAGAGAAAAAGAAAAAAGAGAGAGAGAGAAAGAGAGAAAAAAGAGAGAGAGAAAAAAATTAAAAAAGAGATAGAGAGAGAGAGAAAGAAAAGAGAAAAGGAGAAAGAGAGAGAGAAAGGAACGAAATGAGAGAGAGAGAGAGAGAAAAAAGGAAGAGAGAGAGAAAAGAGAGAAGAGAGAGAGAAGGAAAAAAGAAGAGAGAGAGAGAAAGGATCTCGAGAGAAGGAGAGAGAGGGAGAGAAAGGAAAAAAAAGGAGAGAGAGAGAAAGAGAATGGAAAGAGAGAGAGAGAGAAAGAGAAAAAAGGAGAGAGAGAGAGAAAGGAACATTAAAAGAGAGAAAGGAAAAAGTCAAAAGAGAGAAAGGAAAAGAATGAGAGAAGAGAGAGAGGAGAATGTTAAAGAGAGAGAGAAAGGAAGAATGTTAGAGAGAGAGAGAGAAAGGAATGTGTTAGAGAGAGAGAGAAAGGAATGTGTTAGAGAGAGAGAGAAAGGAATGTGTTAGAGAGAGAGAAGAGAAAGGAATGTGTTAGAGAGAGAGAGAAAGGAATGTGTTAGAGAGAGAGAGAAAAAAGAGGAATGTAAAAAGAGAGAAAAGAAAATTAGAAGAGAGAAAAGGGAATGTGAGAGAGAAGAAAGAGAATGTGAGAGAAGAAAGAGAAAGAAAGAAAAGTGTTAAGAGAGAGAGAAAAAAAAATGAGAGAGAGAGAGAGAAAGGAATGTGTTAGAGAGAGAGAGAGAAAGGAATGTGTTAGAGAGAGAGAGAAAGGAATGTGTTAAGAGAGAGAGAGAAAAAAAAAAAAAGAGAGAGAGAGAGAATGTGTTAGAGAGAGAGAAAGGAATGTGTTAGAGAGAGAAAGGAAAAAAAATGTGTTAGAGAGAGAGAGAAGATGAGAAAGAAAGAAGAGAAAAATTTTTCAAATGTGTTAGAGAGAGAGAGAAAAAGGAATGTGTTAGAGAGAGAGAGAAAAAACTGTGTTAGAGAGAGAGAAGAAAGTGTTAGAGAGAGAGAGAAAGGAAAATGAGAGAGAGAGAAAAAGGAATGTGTTAGAGAGAAAGGAATGTTAGAGAGAGAGCAAAATAAAGTGGGTGGAGAATGAGAAAATGGTATCTTTGAGAGAGAGCAAAATAAAATTAGTTTGGATTAGATAGAGAGCAGAAACAGCAGGGAAGAGAGAGAGAGAAATAATATCAAAAATTTGAAAAAATAGTATAAAGTTGGAAGAGAGAGAGAGAGAGAGAGAAAGAAAACTGGAGCAAAGAGAGAGTAAGAAAAAAAGAGTTAAGAGTAAGAGAAATATTTTTTGACAAACAAGTTTTCATAAATTTAACATTCATAGCCTTGTCAGCAAATTAAAAAGGTAAAGAATTTTTGTGCATTATATTTTTTATGTTTGAAATTCAATTTATACAGGTGTTTGAAGTTCTGAGGTTTAACTTTTCATGATTTATTTAGACAAGTATCTTTATCTTTGTTGTTTTACTTACTACATTCTGTTTGGTTGCTTCTGTGGTATTCCTCAACATTTCCTTCATTTTATTTTAACTAAACTGACAAATCTAGATCTCTTGAGTCTTGAATTACAGTAGCTGAAGTAGCAAAACAACAAAGATGAGGATAACATTCCAAATAATTCAAGCAATGATCAAGTTACTGTCAAAATTGATAATTATTTAGAGGAAAACTGATTTTAATTAGTGATATCCTTTAAGTGATTTAGAGAAAACAATACTTTTTATTAGGCACCTCCAATAATTAGCATGATGAAAAAGGCCCTAAACTTGATAAAAACAAAGTTTTTTTTTTGTCAAAATGTTTGTTATTATTAAGAAGAAAGACCAAAGTATTTTTCAAATATTTTATTAATTTTTTTAATCCTTTCTAGTATGTTCAAAATTTTGGTTAAAAATCTTGTTTTTCTTGCATCAACAAAGATTAGTATGGGAAATTTTAGCATTTTTGAGGGTTTTTTTTAAAGACAATGATATAGAAATTCTTGCAAATATCAAGTAATTGTCAGATTTTAATTAAACTTTCAGGACTTATTCACAAATGAATGAAATTATTTTAGAAACATTGATTAGAAATCTTGGTAAAAATATATATATATATATATATATATATATATATATATATATATATATATATATATATATATAAATCTGTGATCCCCCATTTACTTAATAAAATTTCAGAAATTAAATTGTCCCTCTTGTATTTATATTAGTTAAATGTAGTTAAATTTTTGTTTTTTGTAAATTTCAAATAGTTGCTTATTTACTGAAAATCTGCTCTGAATCATAAAATAAAAAAAAATGCAATCAAACTAAAACATTATTTAATTAGAAAAGCTTCTAATTGCTTTTACAAATTAGATATATTAAAAACACTATTGTTTTAAGAAAAATAAATTTCAATGAATAATGAATTTATACAAGATTTGTTTTTAATTTTTTTTTCATTTTAATTTGAAAAAATTAAGTTTAAAACATTTCTTTAATTTTTTAAAACTGTCTTAATTCGTCTCAGATAATATTAAGTGAAAACTATATTTATTAATCATAAATTGAAAAGTTTAGTAAAAATCATCACACACCAATATCTTTAAGAGAATTTTGAATTTTCTTTTTATGTGCATAAACATGCCAATTCTCTATATACAGTTAACTATGCACAACATCATCAGAAAATAAGAGTGAAAACGAAAGTAAACTTACAGCCCAAAATATTTAAAATTCAATAAAACATTTGTTTAGGGAGAATATTTTTTTAAATTCTAAAAATTACTTAGTACTTAAAAATTATATATAAAGGTGTTCACATTAATTCGGTCACTTTTTTCATGCCTAAAACCACCATAGAACATTACATAAATATCAATCTGCCATCAAGCCGTCAAACACATTAAATAAGCAGTTACTGTCTACTTAAAAATGTATTTCTGCAAAGTAAATAATAGTTGTTCCAAATCAGATAAATTATACTAATATTTTTCAAATAAAGTTTCAGGCAAACATACTTTATTTTTTGAAAGATTTTTTAAGAGAATTACATTACAATGAAGGACTACTAAACAAAAAAGAAAAAAAAAAAAAAAAAAAAAACACTTTATCAAATTTTAGCAAAAAAGAAAAGAAAATCCTTCCAGTCATTTTAAATTAGTTTTTGAAATACAGCAAAGTATTTTGCTTATTGGAAATATTCAATTTAATCTACAAGTTTGAAATTAAAACTAAATTAAAAGAATTTAAAATTTTTAAAAATTCATTTTAAACCTTAGGTATAATTTTTTTGTGGGAGGTACCTACTTAAAATGAAAAAAAAAAAAATCATTTCTTTTATGTAAGTCAATTAAAAAAAAATAAGATTCAGGTATGTAATGAATGAACAACAGGGATGGGGAACATTAATTTTTTGACAGGTATTTCTTTCATCTTAACTTCAATTGCTTTTCATTATTATAATTACTCACTCTTAATTTACAGTCATGCATAAAGAGCAGAAATTGAAATTAAAACAGACCTTTGGCCAGACTTTAACTAACACCTTTTTCCTTTCTACTTTATTATTTACATGAGAAATATTATCCTCATCTTTGTTGTTGTTATCACATTTCATCTGTTGTACTCTCCAGCCTTCATCAGGTGCTTGCTAATTCAGGTAATCTCTAACTGGATTTTTTATTCAGTTTACAGAGGTGGGACAATAGCTTACTGGATTAAAGTATTTAGTGACAAAGTAATTGTGAGTTCAAATCCTGGGCTGGGTAGTACAGACTCAGACAGTGGATAAGTGGTAAGCAATAACTGAACAAAATAACAATCAGACCAGTCATCCCTACACACGGTCAGCAGAACTATAACAATCTTTGTTGGGGAGGAGTATGAATAAGACTTTTGAACAGGAGTAGATGTTTACTCACTGTTTCCTATTCAAGATTGATATTCTAGTTCCTTCTAAATTCTACTTCAAAAAAACTCTCAATTTATAATGTATTTTTTTAAACTTCCTTGAAATTTATACTCAGATTTATAATTAATAGTTCCTTCTAAATTCTACTTCAACTCTATACTTCTAATGTCTCCACCTAAACTCTGAAATTTATACTCTTATTTGGTTTCTAGTTCCTTCTAAATTCTACTTCAACTCTATACTTCTAATGTCTCCACCTAAACTCTGAAATTTATACTCTTATTTGGTTTCTAGTTCCTTCTAAATTCTTTTCCCTCTATACTTCTAATTCCAGTAAACTCTTGAAATTAATATTTATTTCTATTCTTTTCAAATTCTTTTCCTTTTTACTTGGGGTGAATTGATTTGATTTAAAAAAAAATAAATAAATGATTCAGTTCAAAATTCCCTGAAAGTTACTCGTATTGAACAATCACCTAATAATAAAAGGTCAAAGGGCACAACCACTAAAACATTGTGATGATAACAGCAAAGATGAGGATAATATTCTAAGTGTAATTAATGTAGGTAATGATAACGCTTCATCCCTGAAATTCAATTAGAACAGCTATCACAGTAAAGTGGACTTTCTATCACTTGAGCTATAAGTGCCAATATTTGCAAAAGATAAAATCTAAATGTAAAGAAAGACTTATCCCTTCTCAATTTTCAGCAAACCTATATTTGATGCTTTGTTTACATACATTAGTAATATCAGTCCTATTGGCTAGAAAATGATGGTCAGAGTAGTTGCAATGAAAAGCAACTAGAATTAAGATGAAAGAAATACTAATAAAAAATTAATGACAGCTGACAATAATAAAATTTCAAGAAATAAAAAATTCAAAATTTTAGTAAAAAGGTCAAGAATCTACAGTGTTTCATAATAAAACCAATTTTTATGAACATCTGTGCTATGTCCCTTAGAACATTGGTGATCATGGCTCTCCACAACTGTCTATCCTGTATAGCTCTGAGCAAGATTTGTTATTGTAATATCCCCACCTCAGTTTATGTTCTGCCATCTAATTACACAAGTTCATTAGGTATGTTACTCCCTGTTCCCCTCTATCCTCAATATACCCTGTGAGTGTCAAATTCTCCGAGCCTTCTCTTCTCGTTATGTCTTCCCAATTTTTCAACTGTCTCTTTCTGATTATAAGTAAAAATGTTTTTTCATTCCTATTCCCCTTAAAACATTCTTGTTGCAAATGTTCTGTTCATGTTATTCTCAGCATCCTTCTGTAGAGCCACATTTCTGTTACTTCAAGTTTGATTGCTTCAAATTTGATTGTGAGGAAATTGTCTAGTATTCATTGCCAAATGGAAAAATTGATATTACATAACAGTTGATGGAATTGATATACTATCAATATTTTTAACTGATTTTCCACTAGAACTCTTCAGAAAATCAAGACTATTTTTTTTTAAACAAGTTTCTGAATGTTTTAATTTTTCCAAATTTTACTCAGATACTCTTGATTATGGTAAATTCCAAGAAGAGATTTTCCATCATGTTGCTTCATGAAGATTCCACAAGACTGCAAGATTCAGGTCAGACAAAATTCATGGGCAGTTGTCAAATCAATGCTTTTCGAAGAACAACAAAATGAAAAGGTTCATGCCTGTCAGTATTGCTCAGTTCAGTAAAGAGTATAACTTGCATGTTCTCTTTGCAAAGAAACATGCATTTAACAAAAAAAAATAGGGTTTCATTATGGATACTCTTTAATTTCATTTGATCAGTTGGTTTAGACTCGGCCCTCAAATGAGGAATAAAGATAAAAAAAAATTCTGAACAAATGAAGTCAAAATAAATCTCTATTGTAGCATTGCAGACCAAACACCAGATTCATTCACAGGTTCCATTTGAATGTTCTTGGTTTAATACAAGGAAAATAATTCTTTGGCTAGATTGTTACCAAACTGAGTATGTTCGACATTGTTTAATTGGTGTTTCAACATTTGGTCTGCATATTCGATAAAGCTCATAGTTTTCACTCAGATTATTTTCTCAGAAGCTTCATACCTGCTTAGTTTCATATCTGAGATGTAAACAAAGCAATTTCTAAAGAAATAATGGAATTCATTTTAATCCAACATTCTTATTCCTTCAAACATATAATGGATACTTTGTATTTCTAAAAGACACCTCATTATTATTCCATTATTAAACAGTGTGTACTACATCTTAATACAATTAAGAGGCACATTCAAATAATAATGAGCACTGGATCAAAACGGAATGCATTTACTACAATTTCTCAGGTGGAATATTCAGGCTGATAGATATAATGCACACTGTTTAAGAAATAAAAATTAGGCGTCTATTTCAAATACAAGTATCCACTATAATAATATTTGAAGTAATATTGCAAAAACAAAAAAAAAATTATAAACTCACATCCATGCAATAATATATATATATATATATATATATAAACACATATATATATAAACACACAGGAAAACAGAACAAAAACAATAGCTTAAAAGATGCCTATTGAGCAGACATTTAACCTTGTTCTTGCATTTTAAAAATCTATTTTAAATTTGTCTTTTTCAGGAGTTTCAGTGTCCCTCAATTTTTGCATATTCTCAGCATTGAAAACTCTCTTTGTCCCAGATTTTGATTTAGGCTTTCAAATGCACAAACTTTCTTTTCCTCACAATAAGTAGTGATCTTTGATTTTGGCACTGGCCCTTTTTTTATTTCTTTTTGCAAGGAATACTGCTGCCATATGCAATAGGCAACCAAAAACTACAGAAGAACTCAAAATTAAAAAGTTCAACAATAATTCTTCTGCTGCCATTTAATTTAAAGACTATTTGATGCGCATAGGTCCTTACTTTCCATACAAACAATTATTTTTATTTCATGGATGACTTTTACTGGATTTCGCAATTAATTTGGATTATTCTCAAATTTATTTCCAAGTTATAAAAATTGTTATACGAAAAATTTGTTGCAAAATCATAAGAACAATCACAGAAATAAAAACCAAAATTTCTGTAACATGAGCTATTGAAAGTTAGAGAGTTGTGTCTCCTTAATTGAAAAAGTGTGACACAGTGACATTCCTATTTATTACATTATATATATATATATATATATATATATATATATATATAAACTAAAATAAGTAGAAAAACTTCAACCTCTTCAGATTAATTCACTTTTGGTAATCAGCAGAGTAACTCCTCAAAAGTAATTTCAAGTGGTACTTCTGCTAAGACATGCTCCACACAGACACTGATGAAACATGATGATAAGTAGACATTTTAAGATAACATATTGGATGAAGGAAAAAAGAAAGATAAAATCAAAATAATTCCAGACAAGTACTTCAAATAAATAAGTAGATACAGACAAACACTGGCTGAGTCAAAATTTCATTCCTTCCTTAGCAAAGATCTTGCCTCACCTGGAACACCTGGGTGATATCACTGCCGGAGATACATTTAAAAAACTCAAGGGAAAGATCAGTAAATAGGCTAACAACTTAGATGAAAATAATAAGATGATTCAGATTTTGGTAGATGGGGATGTAGACAAGTATAATAAAAAAAGAAAAAGAAATTAAAAAAGAAAAATGTTTCAACTACATAACCACAATTTGATTATATTCCCTAGCCACTTTAACATTTTTAACATTTACAGACACTTGCTATTTCTATTAAAATAAATGAGGTGTTTTTATGAACTAGCTCAGTGGTTAGTCCAGAGGAATATAGGGCAGAGTAATTGAAGTTCTTCAATAGCATATAGGTAAATTCATTATTAAAATTTTATGAACAACTGTACTATATAAATGGCAGATAGCTTTGTATAAATTTTTGATTGTTAAATTGTTAATTAAGAACAAAAATGTGTGTATGAGTGTATGCCAGTGTTATTATTTAATATCAGCAGAGTAGTTGATTACTTGATTGATTGATAGCTTTGTACAGATTACCAACTCATTGTGTGTTATTTACATATCAGAATGTAGGAGGCTGCTTACAGTACCCCATGTTCCAAAGTGGAACCCCATCTACGTACTGACCATGCTTGATGCTGCTTAACTTCAGTGAATGAATAAGAAGCAGTGTTTTCAGTGTGATCTAACTGTAAGCTCAGCCATGAAGAACCAAATTCAGAAGCTTGTTAGAAACCCTCCTCCTTAAATTGTCCTCAAACATTATATTGAATGGTTAGAATCGGTATTCAATGTTTTTTTACAGCTGCAATCCAAGTGAACTTGATAGAATTAAATGGTCACAAAGCAACTAACAAGTTCCAGTGTTGTATTTATAGAGAAAGTATTTTTTTTTTGCTGTTGCCAGTGACATACAAATGCCATAATTAAAGATCTGAATATAAATAGAATCATCATTTAAAAAGGTTACCTGTTGATTGAGGACTAGGGAATGAGCATAGCCTGCAGCTATTTGGATAGACCGAATCTCTTTAACTGTTGACAGTGATGTGACAGGAGTGGGCACAAGCAAACTCTCAGCATCTCCATGTCCCAACTGACCATGGATGCCCCAGCCCCATGTGTACACTCTAGAGTTGATTAAAACAAAAGGAACATTATCAGCATGTTCATTCAAACAAAAGGAACATTATCAGCATGTTCATTAAAAAAAAACATCAGTATATTCATTCACATATTGAAATAAAGCAAATTACAAGTAGGTTAGAACAAAAAACAGAAATGCATAGTTCTCAGGCAAAACAATAAGACTTGTTCATAAACAATATTCCAAACACTCATTATTTCATTCTAAAGTCTTTTATTATATTCATTCAATGGATGAACATAATAAAGCATAAATAAAACACAGTTTTTTCCAACTCACTGACTCCTTGTACAAAATTTAAACATATAGAATCTAAGATCAAACAAACAAAAATTCATAGTTTCCAACAACTCACTTGCCCTCCTCTGTGAGAACAATGGAATGATACTGTCCACAGTCAACTTTTACACATCTCTCATTGGACAGGGCTTCAACCAGCATGGGTCGACTGTAACGGTGGCGTGTACCCACTCCAACCTGCCCATATTTGGAAGAACCCCAGCTGTACACCTGAAATGTAAATCACAAAAAGGTATTAAAGGACAGAATTATGCTCAAATTACTTTTGGAAAGAATGTAGGCTATCATAGCTCTCCACAACTTCCTATTCTTTGTATTCTCTAAGTAATATTTGTCATTTTACTATCCCTCCCATTCCTTGTTCTGTGATCCATTTACAGATCTCATTAAGTAGGTTACTCATTGTTTTCTCTCTGCCTCTCCCGTTACCTACAATATATCCTGTGTGTGTCAAATTCCCAAGCCCTCTTTCCTCATCATGTACCCCAGAAATTTCAACTACCTATTTCTGATCCTAAGCACAGATTTACTTTTCATTCCCATTTTTCTTAAGACTTCCTTGTTGCTCACATGTTCTATCCATGATATTCACAGCATCCTTCTGTGAAAGCACATCTCTGTTGTTGTAAGTCTCCTTTTCATCTGTGAATAAATTGTCCAGCATTCACTGCCATATATGATTATTGATATTATTTGACAGTTCAGCTATCTTATCTTCAGAAACAAAGATATTTTCATGCTTCTTAATACTTGCTGTGGCCTTGTTGGGGCCCGAAATAATGACACAAAGAGAGGAACCGAGTTAAATATATTAACAGAAATGGTAATACAAACATATACAAACGAGAGTGTTACAACAAGAATGTTCACTCCGACTGTCAGAGTTGACTGCTGGAAACTTTCCTCTCCAAAAAGCAGTACCTGCTCCTATTTATAGCTGGGAGAGTCCATGCTTGCATCGGTAAATTAACATAACACTTTGGTTGGTTTTTGGTAGGCATTTTTCACTATTCCAATGCAACTTTTCTCTCATCTGTTATTAACCTTTAGTTAAATTTCTGTACAAGGTTGGACTGAAAAGTTCATAGACTGACTATGAAGGAGTGATGCTAGTGCTGTGAAATCTTGCATGTATTGATTTCAATTGTTCAAACAAGACTTCAAAAGTAACTAGTAGTGACTTCTCTTGAAAATGGACAAAATTTGGCAGTGTACCTGCAGAAAAAGGGTTTAGCCTACAAGGACATTCATGCTGACATGGTTACTACATTATGGGGATAACACTCCAGCTTTATTGACAGTGCAAAAGTGGGCAGCAGAATTTAGGTTGGGGAAGGGAGAGTCTTGAAGATGACCCAAAATGTAGATGTCCTGCAACTGTCACCACTGAGGAAAACATTCATGTTCACTGCATGGTTATAGATGACAGGCAATGGACTATGAATCAAATAGCCAATGCTATTAGCATATCCCATGAGAGAGTTGAAAATATTCTGCTCAATGAACTTGGTATGATGAAGGTTTCTGCTTGGTGGGTGCCACATCTTCTGACACCTAATCAAAAGTGCACCAGGCTGATCACATCACAGGAAAACCTGACATGGTTTGAGGCAGATCCAGTGGGTGTTCTCAAACATTTCCTAACCCAGGATGAGTGGTGGATTCATAACTTTGAGCCAGAGACAAACTATACAGTAAAAACACTCCTAATCATCTGCTCCAAAAAAGGTCAAAGTCATTTCATCTGCAGGAAAGTGATGGACTCAGGTTTTAGGGATTCAAAAAGCATTGTGTTTATTGACTATTTTTCAAAAGGGCTACACCATCAATGGAGAGTACTATGCAAACTTGTTGAGGAGGTTATGGCTATCAAGAACATGTTATCAAGAAAAAACACCAGAAAAGTCTTGTTTCAAAGGACAATTCTCCAGCACACAAGTCCTTGATTTAAATGGCTGCTGTGCATGACTGTGGCTTTGAATTGGTTGATAAAATTCCCTATTCTCCTGATTTGGCCTAATCTATCAACTGTTCCCCATTTGGCTAGAAACCAGTATCACAATGATGATGACGTCATATCCTGCTGTTGATGACTTTTTAATCAACAGGATGGAAGCTTCTTCACCAATGGGATCCAGACACTGTAATACCGATGGAAGAAGTGTGTGGACTGAAAGGGGGACTATGTTGGAAAATCAACCTCATTTGATCATATTTCATCACAGTATCTTGGTCAGCCTATGAACTTTTCAGCCGAGCCTCATACTTGGCCGTTTCTGACATCTCCAGTACATACTTCCCATCTTAGACTGTCCCTATCTTCTGGTATTTGAAGTGAATTCATAAACATGCAATTATGGGTCTCAATTGCGACTTAACCAATTCTTAGAAGTCTGTTATAACATCTGAATTTGCAAAAGGTAAATCAACATTAGAAATACCCAAAATGGTTGGAAGATATCTCCAAACTATGAAAAGGTTTGTTGCAGCTCCTACGAAAGTATATAAGAAGGCTGATAAAGGTCACTTGAAGGTTGTTTCCACCCCAACATTCTCCATCACGAATTAAACATGAAGTTGTAAATAACCAATGCCTGAGCAGTGGAGAACTTTTCAGACACACTGGAGAAACAACTGTGTCCAGAACTACTCGATGTCATCTTCTGAAAAAGGTCAGGAAATCACCGAGACCAGTGACAATGCTTCCATTGACAAAAAGACACATTCATAAACGTCTGAAATGGGTAGAAGAAAACATGAAGGTTGATTTCTTGAAGGTTTTGTTCACGGATGAATCTCATGCTACCATTGATGGCCCTAATGGTTGGAGCAAATGTTGGGTCATAAACAGATGACATTGGCATCAAAACTTGAGATGCCAACAAGGAGGAGGGGTTATCATGATTTAGGCTAGTATTATTGGAGGTATCATGGTAGTATTATTGGAGGTATCATGGTTGGTTCATGGGAAGTGCCTGATGGTATTAAAATGACTGCAAATGTTTATATAGTCTTCCTGAGAAAGCACCTTGGATCAAAAAAGGAAAGGATCATGTTCAGGAGAACCATTATATTTGTGCAAGATTTGTGCTCCCTCACATGAAGCACATAAAACTACAGAGTACCTACAACAATTAGGTTTCTGTGGACCTTAGAAAATGGTCAGCCAATTCTCCAGATTTAAACACAATTGAAAACTTGTGGGACATTCTAATGGGAAAGGGTTTATGAGAATGGATGCCAATTTAGAAGCAAGGAAGACTTGGGGCAGACAATAGTGAATGTATCACATGGAATTACATCAGAGGAGATCCAGAAATTGACATGCTCCATGGATCAGCGCTTAATCCATGTCATTTCAAGAAGAGGATCCCATATGTTATGGTCTGGTTCCTTGTACCACGGTGATAGTCCAAGGTAGAACCAATAAAAAAGAACTCAAACACGTATATGGAATGACACAGATATATTACAAACAGGAATATATACAGGGAAGTAGAAAAGTGTTAGTACGAACAATCAGGTTTAGTAGTAATTGTCTGAACGCGACTGTTTCGGACTGCCTCTGACTCGACTGACTGATTCGCTCACTCTGACTGACTGACAGACTCCTGACAGACTTCACTCCAGACTTCAGACAGAACTCCCTGCTTTTTCTTGAGGCGCAGTATTTATTACGTATGGAATAGTCCATTATGTTATTATGGGTAAGGTCCCATAACACCTTATTAACCAGCACCACTATTATTTTTGAATTGTGTACTTGTTGATTTCTATTTATTAATGTTGGTTACTGTATATGTCCATAACAATCTGTATATGAAGCAATTAAAACGTTATTTTCTTGTTTACATGAGTTTTAATTACACCTTGCTAATAATTTGAAACAGTTATAATTTAACTAAATTAAGTAAAAATTAGGTAAATGACTATAGTTTCTGTGTATTTTTGCAGAACTTTACACTTTTTACAAGGTACATGCATATAACCTGCCATCATTCTGTGAAAATATTGTTAAATTCCATGTAGTTTTTGGACGAAATGGAAAATTGTCACCTCATTAATAATTCATTACACAGTGTATATGATGTGGAATATAGCCAACATAATCAAAATATCTAAATCAAGTACTGAAAAACATTTGTACAAACTTAGTTATGTTAGTTGCTTTGATGTGTAACTTACAAATTAATAAAAAAAAAAAGTCTACTAAACCAGATTTCTGTGTGCTGTTCACTATATAAACATAATGAATGGTGATAAATGATGAAAAGTGAATGAAATGAAAAATGAATCAGCATTAACCTTTAACACACTGGAAGCGAAAATTGTCGCTGTAGAATTCTCTCCCTTTGCAGCTCTAGGAGCATTTCGTCATTTTGAAATGGTTGCTATAAATAAATGCTTGTCAACTGTTATTTCCGGTATTTTAAGCTGGAAACCACCTACTACTGCTTTCGAACGAGGTTAAACTTCCATTTTCCAATGCCGTTTTGAATTCTTCTAGACACTACACAAAGTGTAACATCAATTAAACCCACATTAATTTCTTCGTGATTTTTTGTAAACAAAAATAGCCACATCAACATTCAACAAAGCCTTTATTCAGGAGTTTTCTTTGATTCAGACTCCAATAATGATTTTGAAGGCTTTACTCAAATGGATATTGAGAGGGAAGTGGGTGAAGACTCACGATAGTGACATGGAAGAAAGTGATAATGACCACTAGCAGCTACTATCATCCGTAGCTGACTAATTTTATGGAAGCTCCTGGCGATGATCAATGTACCTAGTAGCCTTTCTAAAGATTAATTATTTTGTCTATTTACAAACAATGAAATAATAAACTATTTGTCAACAAGACAAATAAATATGATACTCAGGTGAAAGAAAGACGTAAACAGGAGAAAGTATGTTACTTTTTTGACAAAATGAAAGCCTTCTTAGCCTTTTTGATTCTTATTGCACCCCAGAACTTCACAAGCAATAACAAAAGTTAAAGTATGTTAAATTGTTACTGTATTTGTTTTTTGTATTTTAATTTTGTTTTTAATGACAAAACATGCATGCAAAATGTAATGCATTACACAATGCATTACATCAAAATTTTACTCATCCATTCTTTTATTAGTATACAAAAAATTAAATCTATCTACACAATACAAAGAAAGTTATAACAATTTTAAAACAGTAAGTGATCATGTTTTTTGTGCCCCGAAAAAAAAAAAAATTGCAGTGGCAGGGAGAACAGTTCTAGAAAGAAATTGGTTGGGTAATGGTTAACATTCCCAAACTAAGGGTGCGACCTATCCATAAGTATATACAATACTTAATCTAAAATCTTAAAATGGCCACATCAGCCTCCAACAAAACCTTTATTTAGGAGTTTTTCCTTCGATTCAGACTGTGATGATGGTTTTGAGGGCTTTACTCAAGTGAATATTGATGGTGAAGTGATTGGAGATAGAGATAATAATGATACTTCATGACAGGGAGGAAAGCTATGATGACTATTAGGTACTAAACGGCTAGTATCATCCATGGCTGACTAATTTTATGGAAACTACTGGTACCATGGATGTACCTGATATACTTTCCCAAAGGTGAATTATTCAGTTTATTTATAAATGACAAAATGATAATTTTATTTGTCAACAAGACAAATAAATAAGCTATTCAGGTGAAAGAAAGAGCAAACAAATGCTGATGCCTACTTGTATATAAACAAAGTGGAAGGACATGAATTTTGACAAAATGAAAGCCTTCTTAGCCTTTTTGCTTCTTATTGTACCCACAAGCAGTACTAAAAATTAAAGTATGTTAAATTGTTAATGTATTTTTTTTTTGTTTTAATTTTGCATGCAAAATGTAATGTATTATATCCAAATGTTACTCATTCATTGTTATTAGTATACAAAAATTAAAATCTGTACACGCAATACAAAGAAAGTTACAATTTTAAAACAGTAGGTGTTCATGCTTTTGTGCCTTAAAATTTTTTTTTTTTTTTTAAATTCAGTGGCAACAATTCTAGAAAGAATTTAACATGCTAAAGGTTAATAAGGCCTAAAGTCTGTCTTCATCTAAAGAAGCTGATATTATGAATAGAATGAAATTGATAGAGAGTCCTCAGCTATGATTTATTTCGAGAGAAGTAAATAATTCAAAGAAAATTTTTTTTCTTTTATGTACCATGTCCCTTCAGGACATGGTTGATCATGACTTTCCACAACTTCCTATTTCTTGTTGCTTAAACTTTTGATCTTTTAATACCCCTTTTTATCCTTGTTCTGTCATTGATTTACATAAACTTGTTAAGTAGGTTATTCATTGTTTACTCCTGCTTCTCTTGCCTTTAATATGCCGTTAGCATTATATTCTCTAAGCCCTCTTTCCTCATTATGTGCCCTAGAAATTTCATCCGTTTCTGATCGTAATTATAGGATTGATTGCAGTTCCTATTTTCTTTGAAACTTTCTTATGGTTTTCATGTTGCATTAATAATATTCCCAGTATTCATCAGTAGAGCCGCATTTCTGTTGCTTCAAGTCTCTTCATCTGTAAAATGAGTGACCCTTATCCACTGCTGTACAGGGCTGCTGCCAATTAGGCCAATTGAAGGCAGCAATGAATAAAAAGAAAATGTCTGGAATTATATGAGGGAAAAAAAAAAAAAAGTAATATCCCCGCCCAGAATAAATTTACACTGCAGATATTTTTCGTGACCAAGGAGAAACCATTGTATCTTGGAGAGGAAATTTTCATTTGTCATATCCACCAGAGATACCATCTTCAGATTACAACATATTCCAGTCTTCACAGAATTCTGTTAATAGAAAAACACTCAATTCCTTGAAAGATTTCAAGACACTTAGAGTAATTCTTTGCTGAAAAAGATCAAGAGCTCCAAGAGAACAGAATTAAGAATTTATCTGAAAAATATCAGTGGAACAAACCAGTAAATATGTTTCAATTAAATTTGCTTTCAATCTGTCCTGTGACAGATTGAAAGCAAGAGGGACAGTAAAAAAAAACAACGCATAACTGTGATAAAGTAATCAGAAGTAATCTCCCTTGTTTTATGATTACCTCCCCTTGGAGAACTCTTTCAGTTTTAGTGGACTATAAATAGTCACTACACTTATATCAATTATTCTAAGCAGAATAAAGTTTCTTTAAGCCTACTCATGCTCTCTCTTTTGGTCTTACAAGAATCTACCTAACAAGCTTGAGCAAATGGATGGTAGAACAAGGTTTATGAGAGATAACAAGACAATATTTATTAAGAGCTGCAAATGACTGGAAATTGTACAGAGATTATCGACAACATCCTGAAGGGAAACAACACATAGAAAAAGAATTCTCAGCATTAAAAACAAATTGTCTTAATTACTAAACTGTATCAACTTTTTGCTGCCTTGAATAAAAAACAAATTTTTAAATTTGAAACCTCTTTTCTAGTCATCAACAAACGATAATTCATTTGAACTGATTAGTGAAAGTCACTTACTCCTTGAGAACTTAGTGCAAGAATGTGCTCTCCTCCACATGCCACAGCTAATACCCGGATTTTCAGCATATGTATTGTTTCCACTCTGCTTACTGGCAAGATACTGTCTTCGACAGTGATGTCTCCGTGGCCAAGACTACATAATCATAGGGAAAAAAAAACAAGAAAAAGAGAAAAAGCTGGATATTAGATTGGGATTATAATCATATTATAATTATAAGAGATTATGAAAATAAGAGATTATGAAATAAAATGTTAACAAAATTAACTGTAAATGTTACATTCAACCAATTTGCTTATATAAAACATTATTTCCAAATAACAATAACACATCCCAGAACCTGGGATATAAGTTCCTCAGGGCAAAGGACTGCAAACCAATGGTTCTTCCAACATATCAACACTTGTTAGGTTACTTAATGCTGAAATCTGTTTTTATAATACTTGAATTTCCAGGCAAACATTGGTCAGGTACATCCAGATGCCTATGGGTAAACATTGTTTGGGTCCCTATATGATCCTATGATTAAACACTGGTATACAATTCTGTGGGTAAACTATTAGTTGGGTCTGTACACAATTCTGTGGGCAAACATTGGTCAGGTCGATACACGAATTTGTAGGTAAACATTGGTTGGGCCCATACAAGAATCTGTGGATAAACATTGGCCATGTTTGTACAAGAGTGTGTGTAAACATTCATTGGGTCTGTACACAAGTCTGTGGGTAAGCATTGGCTGAGTTTGTAGTTGAGTCTGTATATACACATTGGTCATCCATACACTAGTATGCAAGCATCCTTTCAGTTGATGGCCACATTTTGGTGAGCTCTTATCTCTGCAGGACATAGAATCATTTGACTGTAGACCCTGTTGAACAAAGGTGAAGACTGAATTGTTTCTTTTATATATATATATATATATATATATATATATATATATATATATATATATATATATATATATATTATATTATAAAATATTTTACACTATTTACATTATTCAGACTATTGTCCTCATCTTTGTCGCCATGAAACATGGCAGAGTGGATAAAGGCATTAGTTAGATCCAGTGACAGGACCCAAAGAGAGTGAGTTCAATACCTAGTTAAGGCAGTGGAGAACTTGGAGAAGGGAATTAACAGGAGATAACCGATATCCATTAGACATGACACGTAGAACTAGAACAGTCTACACCAGTGAGCGAAATAAAGGGTACAGTTTGACATTCTGACCACCTGAAGAAGGCCAAAGCGTAAAACGGCCAAAACGTTGTGATAAATATGGCAACAATGATGAGGACAATAGTCTGAATAATGTAAATAGTGTACATAATACCTCATCTCAGAAATATAGACATATATATTTTTTAATCCAGGAGCTCAGAAATCAACTCCCTAAAATTTTTTTCTTTTTCATTACTCAATATATCCAACATCCTTTATAATTGTGAAGTTAGTCTTCATTATATTATTCCAAATATTATTTGGATTATTGATCTCATTGTTTTTGGTTTGTTTTGTTGTGTGTTACGGCATATCAACCTCAATGGGTTATTTAATGCCGACAGCTTTTCTTTTTTTTTCCTGGTAATATTTTGTTTTGTCAAAAATCTATTTCTGGCAATATTTTTTTACCTCAAAAATGTATAGCTGGTAACACTATTTTAAAACATGTATTGCTGGTAATACTTTTTCTCTTTAAAACTGTATTGCTGGTAATCATTTTTTTTTTCAAAAATGTATTTCTGGTAATAATTTTTTACAAAGTATTTCTCGTATTAAAACCTATTTTTACACTTTTATAATGCTTTTTACCTCAGTTTTGGGGTTAACTATTTGTCCATAGCTGGGACCTTAACAGGTGCTACCACCCCGGATCATGGTGGACATGGGAACACCAGCAATTAAGAGGTTTGGTTGCTTTTGTTGTTGTAGCAATGTTTCAGCCAACCCATTCTACAGCCTTCTTTAGGTTTACAATCTATATTGGAACATGTTTTTTTTTTTTTTTCTCAAAATTGCATTTTTTTTTGTAAATACATTGTGATCAAAATAGCAGGCAAAATCCCACTCTAAATAATTTGTGAAATATAAATACTATCTCCATCCATAATAGTTGTATTTAATGTATGAAATATATAGATGTAAATGTAACAACTATTATTAGATAAAGGTAAGGTCAGAAATTCAAACAATTTCTTACCATAAATTTTCATATGCCAAAAACAATGTTCTAAAAGAGAGTTTTATACCTGATATTAATTCTGGGAAACTAATGCCATAGATAAAATTTCCAAAAATTCTAAATAACTAAAAATTTAAAAAAGAAATAGATACTACACATTAATAAATGGTAACATTAATGTTGATATTAACCATTCCCTTATAAGGAAATATTTATCATTCATTGATTGCACAGTTGAAATTTATAAATTAAAATAATTAAAATAATTTTTTCCGGAAAATAAGTTTCTCAAGTCCAGTAACTATTATTGCACTTTCCTGTACTGATGGAGGTTTTGGTTTGGTTTGGTTTGCGGCATATCACCCTCAATGGGTCATTTAATGCCAACAAGATTTTTATTGAAGGTAATTTTTTTTTTTTTTTTTTAAATGTATTGCCGGTAATATTTGCTTTTTTCTCAAAAATGTATTGCTGGTAATAATTTTTCTTCAAAGATTTATTGCTGGTAATAATTTTTTTACAAAGTATTTCTGGTATTAAAACCTATTTTTACACTTTCATAGTGTTTTGACTCCAGTTTCGGGGTTAACTATTTACCCATAGCTGGGACCCTAACAGGTGCTACCACCCTAGGTCAGGGTGGACCTGGGAACACCAGCAATTAAGAGGTGGTTCCACGCTCCTCAAAACCTCCTGATCAGAGGCCTTGCTGTTGGACGTAGTTTATTGTCTTACCCAGGATGCAAATGTAGATTATCATCATACCCAGGACAGTGATGGAGGTTTCCTTCCTAACTTTTTGTTAGAAGTATTGTGGAATGTTAACATATTGATTATGTCATTATTTTCTCTTCGAGTTACATGTGCTATACATTTTACTTGTTGCTTTTGGAAGTCCTCAAGTGACGTGTTTCTTACAGATTGTTCCCAACTGACCCTATTATACTGTGTAGTCAACAAAATCAAAAACAATGTACATGCATAAAATTAAAAATATTAAATATCAAAAATTTACCCATCACCCCCTGAACTTTGATACATTCTACATATTCAAACATTATAAACACAACATTTTGGCCTCTTCTGGTGTTTTATTTTCGTTGAGATATCTTGTATGTATTGATTGTGTTATATTTTTTGTTCATTCCTTTTGAACCAGACTACTTTAACTACCTGATCAAATAATTGAACTCACAACCACTAGATGAAAACAACATTTAATTAACCAGTGCCTATATCCGCTATGCTAGTGTTCCAAATAACATCAGTGATGTATTTTTTGAATCCTTTAAATTCAGATGGTTTCAAGATTTCATTATCTTCAGGTTCATTCTGCTTTTTGATAACTTTGTTTCATTTTTTAACATGAGGAATTCTCAATATACTTAACATATTCTACTTTTGGAAACTATTTGTCTTGATTGACTTATTTTACTATAGATACAACATCTCAGTCAAATATCATCAGGGCCATAGCAGAGACAAAATTTAGAATTTAGCCTTAAGTTGTCAAAGGCTACCAACATGGTTAGCAGCAGGTTTTTGTCACAAATTATTTAACTGCTGGACTGTCAGTATCCGGTGTTTTTTTGACCAGGTTAGTCTTTTCATCTTCTTCCTCTTTTTATTTGAGAGAGAGATATAGAGAGAGAAAGACAGTGAACGAAAGAAAAAAAGATAAGGATTTTAAGGGAGAACAAATGCTTTGTTTTAATTTGAATTCTTTTCTATTTGTTTGTACATTTTTAGATTTATATTTTATTGGGCTCCCCACAATTCCAAATTAAAATGAAAATGTACCCACGTGAGAAAAAGGAAATTACCATCATTGTACACCTTTAAAGAAGAATTCTTTCATCGGGGTTTTATGAAAGTCATATTCTTCATTACTTTAATTGTTTTTTTTTTTTTCTTTCTTGTATTTTTCTTTATTGTATCTTGTTAAAATAAAACCCTGTAAAAAAATACTACAATTGGTATTACAATTGATAAAAGTCTGCTACAGCCCTAAACCATCTTCAGATTCCCATTCTTTTCACTGATAGTAGACATCTTGTATATGCTGATAACATTATCATTTTTGTCCTTGTGATGTTACTTCTTGTTTATTCCTTTCAAACAATAATATCTGAAATTTTACTACACGATATAGGAACTGATTGATATGACTTATCAACCCTTTGCAGGTTATTTAAAGCCTGAAAATATTTTTAGATTGTAAAAATTCTTTTTTTTTTCTCTCGAGATAATGATTTAGTGATACAAGTTTTACTAATTGACCCATAGCTGGTGGAGAGAAGAGGTGAATTCATACCCTTCCTAAGGGTATCTGCATGTGAATGAAATTAATGAACACAACTGGAATTGGAACTCAGTTCTCCCATTTCCAATTCCAAGTCATTATCCATTACACCACCTGCACATACAAGCTTACAGCAGCTGGTATTCCCAAGCAGTCACTCATCTAGGCACTGATCAGGCTTGATGTTGCTTAACTTTGGTTATCATAGGGGAACCAGTATTTCAACAAGATGTGGCTGTAAGTCAGGAATTGAATTTGAAAGCACTAAGTGACAGTAACATCTGATTGATTAGCTTTTACCCACTGCACCACTGTCTCAGATGAAGAGTCTGAATTAGTCAAATATATTAACCATATAGATCAAACATTCATAAAAAAATTCTGCTAATTAATATACACTGGGCTATAGACTTATTGATCTAATAATATTAAATTAGTCAAATATATTAATATAAAAATATTGGGCAAGTCATTACAAGCGTAGTTATATCCGATTATAATGAACTTGATAAGCCAAATAGTGGACAAGTAAAAAGGGTTGGAACAACAATAAATACATTGATTTAAAATAAAACTTACAACTTATCTGGTGAAATCCTTTAAAAACAATAAGACATTTCCTTTTAATTTTATTTAGAGTTCTGCAAAAGGCCGTGAAGTTTTGGTACTTACCAGCCTGCACGAGCTCGGCCCCATACATAAAGATCTCCATTGCGTACAAGTGCAACATGGTAAGTTCCACATCCAATCAAAGTTGATTGATATAGCAACTTTTTTTCACTCTTCTTAGACTTGTCTTCGACAAACTGAAAAAAATAAAAGAAAAATTTTAAAAATCTAAATGGAAAGAGTTTGAGTTGTCCTTTCTAGAATATGGTTTGAATAATAGAGTGTGAGCATTGCTAGAAGATGAAAACACAGATTAGTTTAATGGCCAAGCGAATAAGTCAGGTCAGTATGTCTATTTTATTGCTTTGCAGAGAACAAATTGGAAAGCATCCCCACATAAAACATATAGAATCATCTGTGTTTCATAGGAGAGTTGAGAATGGAATTGCAAAAGTGATGAAAGCAAAGACTGATAGAGAACTAAATGAAATCAAACAAGATATGCATGGAGAGAGGAAAGAAGGTGAGCAGAGGAAAGATAGGGGAACAGAAATGAAATGCAAAGGAGAGACAAGGAGACAAAGATGAAAAGCAAAAAATGACAAAGCAAAAAAAAGAGACATAGACAAAAAGACAGGAGACAAAAAAAAATAGATAAAGACAGATAAAGGTGAAAAGACAAAGGAAAAAGAGACAAAGGTGAAAAGACAAAGAAAAAGCAAAGGAGAAAAAGCAAAAAGCAAAGGAGAGACAAAGAAAAAAAAAGCAGACAAAGGTTAAAAGCAGAGGAGAGAGACAAAAAAAGCAAAGGAGAGACAAAGAAAAAAGCAAAGGAGAGACAAAAGTGAAAAGCAAAAAGAGAGACAAAAGTGAAAAAAGCAAAAAGGGACAAAAGAAAAAGCAAAATGAGTGAAAAAGCAAAAGGAGAGACAAAAAAAAAAAGGCAAAAAGCAAAGGAGAGACAGGAGACAAAGGTGAAAAAGCAAAAGGAAAGACAAAAAGTGAAAAGCAAAGGAGAGACAAAGTGAAAAGCAAAGGAAAAAAAGTGAAAAAAGGAGAGAAAAAGCAAAACAGACAAAAAAAAAAAAGGAGGAGACATGTTGAAAAAGCAAAAAAGAGAGACAAAGGCAAAAAAAAAGTTCTTCAAAGCAAAAAGGAGAGACAAAAGGTGAAAACAAAAGGAGAAAAAGGCAAAAAAAGAGACAAAAGGTGAAAAGCAAAAAAGGAGACAAAGGCAAAAGCAAAAGAGAGACAAAGGCAAAAAAGCAAAGGAGAGACAAAAGGCAAAAGGCAAAAAGGAAAATTTCTTTACAAAGGCAAAAAAAATTTGGAGAGACAAAGGCAAAAAAAAAAAGGAGAGACAAAGGCAAAAAAAAAAAAAAAAAAAAAGAGACATAGGAAAAGAGAGGAACAGGAACAAAGGTGAAAAGCAAAGGAGAGACAAAAAGTGAAAAAAAGGAGAAAAAAAAGAAAAAAAAGGAGAACAAAAGAGACAAAAGGCAAAAAAAGCAAAGGAGAGACAAAGGCAAAAAGGACAAAAAAAAAGACAAAGGCAAAAAAAAAAAAAGGAGACAAAGGCAAAAAAGCAGACATAGGAAAAGAGACAAAGACAGGAGACAAAAAAAACAAAGGAGAGAAAAAGTGAAAAAAAAAGGAGAGACAAAGTGAAAAAAAAGGAGAGACAAAGGCAAAAAAAGCAAAGGAGAGACAAAGGCAAAAAGCAAAGGAGAGACAAAAGTGAAAAGCAAAGGAGAGACAAAAGTTTTGGAAAAAAGGCAAAAGCAAAAGGAGAGACAAAAAAAGTGAAAAAGGCAAAAAGCAAAGGAGACAAAAAAAGCAGACATAGAAAAAATTTGAAGAGAGAGAAAAGGTGAAAAAAACAAAGGAGAGACAAAAGTGAAAAGCAAAGGAGACAAAAGTGAAAAAAAAAGGAGAACAAAGGAGAGACAAAGGCAAAAAAAAAGGAGAGAAAAGGCAAAAAAAAAGCTGCTTCCTAGAGACAAAGGCAAAAAAGCAAAGGAGAGACAAAGAAAAAAAAAGACATTGGGAGACAGGAGACAAAGGTGAAAAGCAAAGGAGAGACAAAAGTGAAAAGCAAAGGAGAGACAAAAGTGAAAAGCAAAGGAGAGACAAAGGCAAAAAGCAAAGGAGAGACAAAGGCAAAAAGCAAAGGAGAGACAAAGGCAAAAAGCAAAGGAGAGACAGGATGAAAGGTGAAAAAGCAAAGAGGTGAAAAAAGCAAAGGAGAAAAAAAAGCAAAAAAACAGAGACAAAAGTGAAAAGCAAAAAAAAGTAAGGAGACAAAGGCAAAAAACAAAGCAAAGGAAAAAGAAAGGAGATTTCTTGGCAAAAAAAAGGAGACATGAAGGCAAAAAGCAGAGGAGAGACAGGAGACAAAGGTGAAAAGCAAAGGAGAGACAAAAGTGAAAAGCAAAGGAGAGACAAAAGTGAAAAGCAAAGGAGAGACAAAAGTGAAAAGCAAAGGAGAGACAAAAGTGAAAAGCAAAGGAGAGAAAAGGAGACAAAGATGAAAAGTAAAGGAGAGATGGGTGCACAGGAAGGAAAAGGAAAGAAGATACTAGCTGACATAAAGGAAACATGAAGGAGAGATGGGCGGACACAGATAAAATGCGAAGGAGAGATGGGTGAACAGATATGGAAAGCAAAGGAGAGACAGGCAAACAGATGAAATGCAAAGGAGTGATGAGCAGACAAAGATGAAAAGCAAAGAAAAGAGAATGTAAAGGAGAGACAGGCAGACAGAGATGAAAAGCGAAGGGGTGGAACAAAGCTGGTGCTTAAATTTCAAATCCAAGACACAAGAGAAACGCAAGATAAAAAAAAAATTATTGAATAGAAATTTTCTTACCGACACCGGTTCTGGAATAAGAGGCCTTGGCTGTAAATCTTTGTTAAGTTCAGAGGGTTTGATAAGTTTATCACGCTTTTTATTCAACACCAGGAGAATATCAAAAAAAAAGTCAACCATCCGTTGAGTAGCTGCATATGAAACATCCTGAAATGCAAAAAATAAGGTTATTAGCAATAACTACCTCAACTTACTGGCAACTATGTCCCATTTTTTTAATGTTGTTGCTAGACATAACCATTAAGTTCTATGTTATCAGTTTCTTCTCTCACACTTCTCATTTGTGGAAATCTCTTCCGGCATCTTGTTTTCCAGTCAACTTTGATCTTTAAAAAATTTAATACACCATCAATCACTATCTTATGCCTTAATTCCTGTTCTTTTATTGTTTTCTCTCCTTAATGTTTTTCTTTTTTTTTGTATTCTATCACACTCAGTAACTCCTTGTATCTTAGTGAATTTATTGCCTTGCTTAAGGTGAAATGATTTAAAAAAAAAAAAAAAAAAAAAAATCATGCAGACTTCAGAGAGGATCAATGCAATTTAGGTAAAAAAAACAAAAAACATGTCACTATAAAGCATAACAACCATATTCAATGTTCCCAGCCTACTCATTGAATAAAATTCCTTTGTAATTCCCTAAAAAAAAAAAAAATTCCAATGAGATTTCCCGATTTTGGTGACATTGCATAACATACAGAGAGTATATAGTTGTGTGGTTAAAAAGATGGATCTAACGTCTTTTCTAAATATAAGATGATGTCAAGTTTGTTTTTTTTTTATATTTTTGTCTAATCATTTTATACTTTGTAATGTAATGAATAATGGCTCAGAATGAAAAATCAGAGAGTTAAACTCAAATTCCAGTTGGGTTTGTTACATCCACTTACAAGCAAATACCCTTTGGAAAGGTATGAATTCATCTCTTCTCCACCCCACCACCATGGGTTGAATATCAGGACAGAGTGATTCCTATACCCTTGGTTGGAAACCATTCTACTGCAGAAAAAAAAAAGGCAAACTACTGCATGAAAATCTTCTGCCTAGTCAGTCATGAATCGAAAGAGACATGATTGCCTAAGAGTTTATAATATATGGGACTTAATTAACTGATCAGTCATTCAGGATTGAAAGTAGTAAACATTTTATTCAAATTTTACTAATTCTAAAGTACTAATCCTATTTATCATAATATTTAGTATCTATTTTCAAACAATTTTGAAACTAAAAAAAGCCTATGATAAATATATCATTCAAGGTATATCAAGTTGCATTAGAAATTTCTTTGATTTCCTTAACATTAAAATACCAAACTCCCCGTAAGATTCCCTGGTTTTTCTTTAGAAAAGTGGCTATTCTTTTTTTTTCCTTTTCCCTGATTTCTATGTTTTCCAGGTTAGTAATGTTGGTTGTATCTGTCAGTAATAATTGCTTTATTTCCTGACCAACCAATCCTTTTTACTGATTTTGAATTTCAGGTGAAATATTACAAAATTCAGTGTAATTTCTAAAAATGTGATGGATTTTTATTCATTAATCCAACAGATTACTTAAATGTTATTTTTCAATCAGTTATGTTCCATGCATAATACACACTTAGACAATCATGTATCTTTTGATATATGACTGACGATACATCAGGTTGCTACTTCTTTCTGCGGTAGACCATCCAAAGCTATAGAACCTGGTCTATCCTGCTATTTACCCATAGCTGGGGGGGGGGGGAGAAGAGGAGGATTCATACCTTTCCCAAGGGTATTAGCATGTATCAGCTCTCCAATTCCTCAATCTGAGCCACTCACTATCCATTACTCCACCATTCTCCCCAAAAATCATTTTTAGTGGATACTATTTTTTAAGTTAGGATACAAAACTGAGCAGATATGAATGAGTAAAGATTTGCATTTATAAGACATTTATGTGTTTTTTGGGGGTTTTTTTTACCACTAAAATTTCCTATACTAACCTTTGCTGCCCCCACTGATGTAAAAAAAAAAAAAAAAAAAAATTATTTCTACCAAGATTTTCTAAAAAGAGTTTCTAAAATAATTTTATTCATTTGGGAATAAGTTCTGAAAGTTTAATTAAAATAATTATTTGATTTTTGCAAAAATCTACAAATCAATGTGTTTTTTTTTGGGGGGGGGGTTACCACTAAAATTTCCTATACTAACCTTTGCTGCCCCCACTGATGCAAAAAAAAAAAAAAAAGATTTTTAACCAAAATTTCAAACATGCTAGAAAGGATTAAAAAATTAAATAACATGATAAAATACTTTGGTCTATCCTCTTAATAAAAAACAGTTTGACAATAAAATTTTGTTTTTATCAGGTTACATCAAGCTATGCTCTTTTCTCAGTGAATTATTGGAAGTATCTACAATAAATTCAGTAAACAGAACAGAAAACTAAAATCTCACTTGAGATGGAGTGCTGAAAAGTTCTCAGCTAAGCCAAAAAACTCTTCTAGAAAAAAAAAAAAAAAAATTTTGTCATTTGTTCAGTTTTTTGATAGTGGGAAAGTTGAAAACTTTTAAGCATTCAAGAAAATTTTCCCTTACTTCTAGTAAAATTTACTGTGTCTCTCAAAATCAGAGTAAATGAAAGTTCTGAGACTGATATCACATGTAAGATAAACATCTAGTCTGTATGTAATACTGAAGAATCATGTTATAGTTTTAAAGAGTATGTTATTTTTTATCAATAAGCACTTAAAAGTACTTTTGCAGATGATACTATTGACAAAAAGAATAGTACCCTCACAATTTTAAACTAACTGATATCTAAAGGGAATAATAGAGGTTTAAGCACTGTTTTTAAAGAGAAATTTCTTTCTTACATATGGACAGTATATGGTTACATGCAATTATATACAGGAGTGTACCAAAATGTTCAGTACAAGCGACTAGCCAAAACCAAACCAACATCAGAATTTGTTTTAGAATTATTTGTTGGTTGAATAGAAGACATTTTAGTGCCACTACATATTCATTACTAAGTCAATATATTTTTCAATACCAGATCTCTTCAGGACACTGGCAAGTCATATCTCTCAAGAGTAGACAAGGAAGAAGTAGATTCTTGCCTTTCCCAAGGGTATTTGTGTGAAAATAAATAGAACACACAAGTTTGAATTTGGCTTGACAATTTCACTTTCTTTTACATTAACTGACTGAAACAATTTAATGTGAAAACTATCACACGATACCTACCAAGTTCGGATTCTCCCCAAAATTGAGAGATAATAATGAACTCATTGAACCTTGACTGAAAGTCCTGGAATATAAAAAAAGTGAAAAGCTGATTTAATAAAATACTTTTAGGATGAAGAAAAAAGTTTTAACACACACACAAGTACTTTTACCAATCTTCACCAATAACTAATGCTAATCCACTGCTCCAGATCACTTTCACTCATTTTCTACCAACAGTAGATCCTGAACATGTACAACTTCCTCTACTGCTCGGCAACAAATGACTTATCTGGTCTGCATCTCAAGGAAATAGAAGTTGAAACATGTTGGGAAGTGTTTGGGTACAAATATTTGCCTAACTCATTACCCCAATGACATGCTGCATTCATTTTGGGAATTAGGTTTGTTACATAAAAAGCAATTTCTGAAAGCCTTCGACTTCTTGAACCATGGCTTTCTGTGTGCCTTAAAAAAAAGTCAATATATGTCTGAGCTATCATCTTAACACCATTGTAGATAGATTTGGCTATCATCCAGTTCACACTCATCTCTGGTCATTTGAACAGGAGTAGTGGTTTATTTCTTGTTTCCAGTTTGAGATTGGGTTTCTGGTTCCTTATAAAGTTTTCTCATTCTATTTCACTCCCAGTAAAACATTGTGCCTTAGTGGTATTATCGCTTTGCTTGGAGTGAACTGATTGAAATAAAAAAAATTTAAACTTGAAAAAGATCTATTACATCACCACTTATCTCAAAATCACCATCTCAAAACATACACAGTTTGTTTCAAAATCGTGAGGCCAGTTATTGCCAATAGCCATTCAGCCTTTGAGTTGTCCATCAGGTTGATTGATGGCAGCACAGCATTCATCAGTGAAAAGAATTGTTGAAAATTGGTCTTTATGTATTCTGTTGCCCATTTCATTTGATAGTTTAAATGAACATCATTTAAATCAGTCATTCATAATTACTATGCTGTGGCATATGAGTCTGCTGTGAAATATTGCCACATTTTATATATATATATATATATATATATATATATATATATATATATATATATATATATGTGTGTGTGTGTGTGTGTGTGTGTGTGTGTGGAATATTGCACAGCTTATATATATATATGTGTGTGTGTGTTATAAAATATTGGTCAGCTTACATATATATATATATATGTGTGTGTGTGTGTGTATTGTGTCAAATATTACAGCTTATATATATATATATATATATATATATGTGTGTGTGTGTGTGTATGTGTGTGAAATATTTCTCCCAGCTTACATATATATATATATATATATGTGTGTGTGTGTGTATGTGTGTGAAATATTTTTTTAACATATATATTATATGTGTGTGTGTGTGTGTGTATGTGTGTGGACATAATGCCATCTAAACATTTATATGTCTGTGTGTGTGTGTGTGTGTGTGTGGAATATTGTGAAATATTGCCTTAAATGCATATATATATATATATATATATATATATATATATATATATGTGTGTGTGTGTGTATGTGTGTGGAATATTGCCACAGCTTACATTTATATGTCTGTGTGTGTGTGTGTGTGTGTGGAATATTGTGAAATATTGCCACAGCTTAGATTTATATGTCTGTGTGTGTGTGGAATATTGTGAAATATTGCCACAGCTTACATATATATATGTGTGTGTGGAATATTGCCACAGCTTACATACATATATATGTGTGTGTGTGTGTGTGTGTGGAATATATGAATATATGTTGCAGCCCTTATATTTAAATGAATACATATTAAACATTTTTGTCAAATAATTGTTTTCACTATTCTTTGATTATGTTATTTTAAATACTTGGTTTAAAATATTCATTTTTTAAAAAGTATTTTTATTTCTTTTTTTTTAATTTAACCTTTTTAAAATTTTCCTTTATTTGAATAAATGCATATTAATCTTTTTTCATATCACTGTATTCAACATTCTTTGTTTAATTCAGATTTTTTACAAACTTTCACTGAATTACAAATTAATAATATCAAAGTTTCCAATATGCAGCATTGAATTTTGCTAAGTGTGCCATGATATTTTCATTTGATCCTAGGTATGCAGTTGCTTAAACAGATTGAGAAATACTGTCTTAGAAGCAAACAAAGTGATCAGTTTTCAACACTTCCTCTCTGCTACAATGCCTAAAAATTCCAAAGATTGACAAAGATGGGTGTTTTTGATGTGGGACACAAACTAGTGAAATAAAATCTACAATTTATATCCATCAGACCTGAATCAGAATCATTCATGATGTTCAATGAACTTCTCTTACAACTTGGGGATCCTTGCCAATTATTGTTGGAACTTCCAGTATTGCTTTGCCTTTTGCAAGATTAGAAATTATTAAGCATTTCTCTTAAGAGACATTTATAAAGCATCAACTGCAAACATTTAAAAGGTAACAACATTCAAAAGAAAAGTAAATATATAAACTTTCATTCAAATTTCAAAGATAATTTTAGATTAAACTGTAACTATATTTTTATCATTGCATATTAAGATACACTTTAAATTAAACTGTAAATATGTTATCATTGAATATGAATATATAGTAAATATTAATTTATTTATTATTTAAATATATATGTTTAAATATTCATATATATTATATGAATATATAGTAAATTATATTTTATTATTTTATTTCAATTTTTTTCACATTGCATACAAAATTCAAATAAACATGTGGAGATACTTAAATTCAATGTTAAACATGTTGTTCTGATACTTTAATTCAATGAAAACAAACATGTGGAATATTTAAATTCAATACTGAAAACATAATAATATGAAATATGTGGATAAAATTCAATGTTAAACATGTGGAGATACTTAAATTCAATGTCAAACATGTGGAGATACTTAAATTCAATGTCAAACATGTGGAGATACTTAAATTCAATGTCAAACATGTGGAGATACTTAAATTCAATGTTAAACATGTGGAGATACTTAAATTCAATGTCAAACATGTGGAATATTTAAATTCAATGTCAAACATGTATGTACATATAAATTCAAAAAATGTCAAATCAAAATTCATGTTGGATATTTAAATTCAATGAAAAACATGTGGAATACTTAAAAATTAATAGTTTTATAAAAAAAACACTCTTTAATTATTCATCAGGTATTAATATAAATTTCATCATTACAATTTTTTTAAAATACCTATGAAAATAAACATATGCCAAAACATCAACAAAAATACTTTCAAACTATCAGACATATAAATTATTTTAATTTTTTAATGTTTTTTGTTTTATGCTTATTAAAAGATATATATATATATATATATATATATATATATATATTTGAAATGAATAGATAGATAGAATTGACTGCATTGTTGATCCCTATGTTTGCCAAACCATTTTATATATCTCCAAATTGAAAGAAGAATAAATGGATTCAAAAATCCACAGTTCGTGGCATTTACTTTTAAAATTATATATTTTTGATAAATATACATAATATATCATAATTGACTAGATAAGTCGTCCGACGTTATTTAGAAGCCTGAAAATAGAAGTTAATCTTCCATTTTTAGTTTTTTTGGACAGATGGTCTGTCTGCATTCTTAGAGTGTGGTTTGGACCCAAAACCAACTGGAAAAAAATTGGTCAAAAACAAGCAAAATTTGAAAATTACAAACAAATAGATGAAAATGGTTTGTCAGTTAAGTTAAATGGTCATTTGAAAGTGTCTCCAAAAAATTGTTTCATATTTCTTTTCTGTAAACATTGAATAAAATTAAACATTTGAAATCTTATATGCGTATATTTTATCATTGTTTGCAAAAATATCAAAAAGGAATGCAAAAAATATGTCAAGGGGGAATGGGGATACCACACTTAAAAAAATTGGGTTTTAAAACTTTAAAGGAAGAATTGACAGGAATTCGATTTGGTAATAAATATTATGGATGTATTTGCTTCCATTTATTGATAATTTTGAATCTCACGGGTTGAATGCATTTGAAAACCCTGGGAATGCAATTTGGAAGATTCACTATTCAGGAAGAAATCAAAATTGACAATCATTCCTCAGTCCAGTGACCTTTCATGGACTGTTGAAGGTCTTCTATCATTATTTTGTGGAAAGGGTTTTAAACGATCCTCTATGTTGGTAGCTCATTTTGTTGGAGGAGGAGTTTCATTCAACTGTCTTTAAAAAATTTAGCACCAGTGGAAGATTATCTCAGTAACCCTGTGTTTTCATCCTGATAATGCAATTGGCTCAGAATCGGTTGCCTCTCAATGACAAAATATTCTATGGATTAATGGTGGATTTGCCAGACTGTGAAATGTTTGGTTTTAGAGGAAATGGCTTCACATGATACCATTGTCCATCATGCAACCATGTGTGACAATGTGAATCGATTCTCTATTCTGATGTGCAATGAAATGGTTTTCTGAAGCCTGGTAACTGAATTTCAATGGTGTTTGGATGATAGAATACAGGAGGAAGTCTTGGAGTGTTCCAACCATCTTTCCTCATCAGGATCTGATCCAATTCTTTGAGCATCAGCTCAAGATGAAGATTAGAACTGATAGAAAACACTTGCTTTCGACAGTCTTTAATGAAAGGTGGGTGACTGAGGTGAGCTTGGTTCGTTTGAACGGGGCTAGCCTTGATTTTCTCTTTTAGGTCAACCTACGTAACATCGGGGTGGTTTCCTGTGGAGCCCTCTCCTTGGTTAGGTTAGACAAGCTTTTGTGTACCTAGTTAATGTGAGTAAGTGTTGTTCCTGGCCTGTACCAGGCTGCATCTTTGGTTATGATCCAGGTTGAGATTTCCAACCTCCCCAGTTTGTTTTGGCCCCTTTTTATTTCGACTGGGTCAGCTTTTTATTTTCCCACATCCATATATTTTTATCCTTTTCCCACTCCCTTAGCGAGAGAGCCTCTTGATTTTGTCCAATGGGCAGAATACACTGGCCTCTCTTTTTTTGAGGGTTGGACAGGCCCTACTAATATCAGTTATGTTTAGGTTACTTTGTATTGATGTTTAGTTTGTTTTTTGGGGTTCATTCCTCCCTCTCATTCTTCATTATTAGATTTTTTATTTTTTAATTTTATATCAACGTTTTTTATGGCATGGGGCGCATTTTGTAGGTTCCCTATAGTATTGTGGTGTATGGAGGATTGAATGGTGACGGATGAGTTTTTATAGTGAATGAAAATTGTTATTAGTGAATGGGTTGTGAATCAGATTAGCTAGGTATAAGATAGTATCAACCAGCCTCAACCCCTCCCTTTTTAATATTTCATAAATATTTATATTTTTTGTACAATCATTTACAACCGATTTACACATTGTTACTTAGGTAAGTCATTTTGTCTTCTAAAAACCCATTTCTGTTTCTGAAATTCTCATAAATCTGGAAGAGATTCTAGGCTGGGCTGAAATTTGTTTATGACCATTTTTTTTATGAATAAATTGTGTTCCAATAACTTGACCGATTTTAAAATGAATTAAGTTAAACATTCTAATGATTTTTTTCTTTTTCTTTCAGATTTAACAAATTAAGTCTTTATTAATTTCAACCATGGAAAATTAACATGATCAAACAAAGTGTATTAAAAAATTGGACATTCAAAAAGAAATTCAAAAGAAATGCAATGAGAAGTTCCCAGGTGGATCATCATCTCAAAGACAGCAAAGTCAGTTGGCCACCATGATCATGTGACTTACTGCCTTTAGATTTCTTCCTTTGGGGGTTATCTCAAAAGTAAGGTCTATGCCAACAAGCCAACAACAATTCAAATATGAAATAATATGAGATAATAAGGCATACTGGTGAGATCAAGGAATCAACTTAAGAGACGCCATCTAAAAAATTTTGACCATTGGTTTCAAATTTGCAGACATTTGGATGATATTATTTTTCATACATAATTGCCATGACTTAAATAACATGATCCAATAGAGAAATAAATAAATTTTCACCAATAACATTGATTTATTTACTGCTGACTGATCTGTCTTAATGAAACACCTTTTAGTTATTTAAAATTTATTGTATTTATGGGGAAATAGTTCTAAATATCAGAGAGAGAATTTGTAAACAATGTGACCATATAAATCAACACTGCATGGTTTCATACCTTCCATAATCATCAGACTATGTGCATCAGAACATTTTTGTCTGTTACTAATGTTCATCTATATAAGACTCAAGGGCCAATCAAGGTAGAGGGATGGTGAAGGCATTTGCTGTGTAAGCGGTAAAAATGACACAGTTTATGCGGATATGGGGGAAAGATAACAGTTAACTCTAGACTGGAAGAAGTTAAGATTGTAGTTTTTTTAACATTGTTCAGACTGTTGTCCTCATCTTTATTGTCAGTTTCACAATGTTTCGGCCATTGTATGCTTCAGCCTTCAGGTGATTGCAATTTCAAACTGAACCCTTTATTTCATTCACTGGGGTAGAGTGTTCTAGTTTCACGTGTCATGCCTCTTCCGGATGCCTCAGTTATTATCTCCTTTAATTTTCTCTCCATTTTTTGTTCAAAATATTGGGAGCATACTGAACACACAACTCTTTGGATCAAGTCACTGGATCCAGTCAACACTTATTTGTTGGGCCAATCTGCCGCACTGGACAAAATAAAAATCATTTCAGTTCAAAAATTCCAATCATACTGAAGAAATGCGGAGCATACAATGGCGATTTTCAATACCGAACATGAAAACGGTGGCCAAACAATGTAATAATTTTTAACTCATCTGAGAAATATAGACTGATAAGATTGTAGTGTTTGGGAAAGTATCTGCATCATATTCCGTTCTACAAAGCAACAGTTCTTGGGAAAAAGCTATCTTTTTGGAGCTTAATTTAGTTAAACGGAATGAATACAAAAGGGAACAAAAATACCTGGCTCATCTTTATGTAAGAATGACATTTTTGGTCTTAGCTGGGAGATTAGAGTTAGGGGAACTAAGGAATGTAGTTTGAATCTTATCCATGGAAATAGCAATAAAATAGTGAGAGGCTTGCAATGTCTTATCTGTTGGAAAAAGGTTGTAGTGTGGAAAAATAGCTCATCATCCACAAGGCTGACTATATCATTTGACCACTATCAAGGCTGGAAAGAGAAGACTGGGCAACTCCATCCCAGATACAGTAGCAGTACTCCATTTTCGGTTTGATCTGTCTCTTGTAAAGGTAGATACATGCAGGAGCAATCAAATACAAACAGCAGCACAGAGAACCAAACATTTTTCCACCATCTTTAGTGATGGATCATATATACAAGTTTCACTTGAGGTCTCAAGTGAGCTTAAGTCTCAACAGATGTTCAAGGCCAGTGACACCCTTAAGAGAACAAAGGTTCATTGTGATAGTTGGATAAGATAATCTCCACAGAAGTTTCTCTAAGTTTCGGATAATAATCAGGTGAATAGTGCCAACCCAGAAAATGTTATCTCCAACAACCTTAATGCAAGAAGAAATAGACAGGAAAGAAAATGCTGTCATTATACCCTAAATGCACATGTTTCAGCTACATGGTCTGATTTATTATATAGAGCATGTCATAAGAGTAAAATAAATGTAAACATATAAGAAATTCTCATAAGAGGAAAACAGGAGTAAAAATATGAGGAGTTGCCCTCAGAGTAAAAAGAAGTGTTGATTATATCAAAGTGATAATAATGATTATATCCTTCCATGCAAAAATGACAAATTTATAATTGGGATACTCACCTTCCACGTGCCACCTGATGGCACGCCAAATGTCCTTTCACTGCAGATTTTGAGGGATCAAATGTTTCAGCTAGCTTTATAAGTCGTTCAATGTCTAATTTTCGGAGATGTAAGTGAAGAATATCAACCTGCAGAACAGCTAGTGGTGGCCGTAAACACATCAGGTCAACCAAATCTTCAGCAGACAGACAATGCAAAAATACACCTTGGACAAAAAACAAAGGGAATAATACTTAATATGGGAATGTAATCATACTTATTATAAAACCCAGGTTGTGTGCGTGTGTGTGTGTGTGTGTGTCTTTACATTTATATATTGGATCAGATTTCCTACATTTTTCAACCGATTTCAACAAAACTTCACAGGACTACGTTAAATTACCTTGCGGTGGTTCTGACAGTGCCAAAAAAGGAAAAACAAATTGTTTTGCACAAAATCAATTTGAAAACACAATTAAAATATATCACTTTTGCAGAATGAAAGGGGACACAACTCATATCAAGTTTTACTTTTATAAAACCCAGGTTGTGTGTGTGTGTGTGTGTTATGTTTATATTTTGGGATCAGATTTCCTACATTTTCAACCGATTTCAACAAAAAGATGAATGCTAAAAAATATCTTTTTTTTTCTTCATGAGCTGTGTCCATTCAGGACATAGGCAGTCATGGCTCTTCACAATTTCCTCTCATTCATAGTTTTAATAATTTTTTTTTTCTTTTTGTTATTTTGCATAAACCTTGTTGTCATCCATTTACTCAAGCTCACTCAAGTAGGTTATATATTACTTTCCTTTGGCCCTCTTGCCTTTATTCTGTCCTGTGAGTATCACTTTTTCTAAGCCCACTTTTCTCACTATGTGGCCTTGAAATTTCAACTCTCTCTTCCTGATGTTAAGTACAAGTGTCTTTTCTGTTTCTGTTTTCTCTAAAACTTTCTCATTGCTCACATGTTCAGTTCATGGTATCCTCAACATGCTTCTGTAGAACCACATTTCTGTTGCTTCAAGTGTCTTATTTATCTTTGAGGAGATTCTTCAGCATTCACTCCGATATACGAGGACAGATATCATGTAACAGTTCAGTACTCTTTTCTTTGTTTCTAGTGAAAATTTTCTGTCTCTTAATACTCTGCTTAGCTTTTGGAATGCACCTTTGGCTATCCCAATGTTCCTTCAGATTTCATTTCTCAGATATTTAAATTTTTGTACTTGTTTTTTTTTTTTTTTGTTTTTAAAATTATCAACCTTTTTCCGGCTTTTTAGAAAATATTTTTAGATTGTAAGAACTTTTTTGATATAATTGGATAACTTTTTGGATATAATTATTTAATGATACATATCCTAGTAATAGGTTGGGGGAGAAGAGGTCAATGCATACATTTCCCAAGAGTATTTGCACATATATGAATATAACAAACCCGACTGGGATTGGAACACAAATCACCAATTTCTAATTCCAAGCAGTTATCAATTACACTACCTGCACAACCAAGTTTATAGCACCTGATATTCCCAAGTGGTCACCCATCCAAACAGTAAAAGAATGTGTTCTATGTTTAAATGAGCAAGACAGAGCAAGTACACTACCCAGCAACTCTGCTCAGCATTGCTTAAATTCAGTGATTGCACAAGAAGCAGTATTTCAACATGATATGCATAAATGCATAAACTTAAACATTAATCCTAGAACTAGATCCTATCATTTTACTCTTGAATTAGATGTAACCATATGTTCTAATAGTTTATTTTCTTGCACTTCTCACCTGTGGAACTCATCTAGTTTCAAGCTTTCCTACCATCTACAATCTTCAAATATTTAAATGTAACATCACTCGCCATTTTCTATCTTCCTGATTCCTGTTCTTTTATTGTCCTTCCTCCTCATTAGTTTCCTTATTCTCTTTTACTACCAGCAACCCCTTGCGTCGTAGTGGCATTATCACCTTGTTTGGGGTGAAATGATTAAAATAAAAAAAATTAAAAAAAAAACCGAATTTGACATAGAAAAATCTTTTTTCAATAACTTTTTTGTTGTGCAATGGTAGCCTTGGGATCCTATCTACTGATAACAAAATTTCAAATAAAATCATCAGTTGGTTTCTCTAAAAGTACAAAACAGGCGACTCTTTGTTTCCATTTAATTACACCATCTGAATTCTCTCCTAAGTTTGAATTGCCATCATAACCCAGCTTCGTGGCTGCGAACCAATGACAAAGAGGCTCAACTCGAGACACAGCGTTTTACACTCAGCCAAATCATTGAACAATATAGCTCCTAGTCAGTATCTGTCCCTATGGTGCAACCACCTTAACAATGTGAAACACAGGCTCTCTCTCAGCCCTATAGAATAACTTCCCTCCAGGCTGCAGTGATGCCTGCCCCTTCTGGTCCTGATCGCCTCTGAGCAATTGTTGTTCACTGTAGAAGCAAATTCAGAAATGGGGATATGCCACCAATGTTGATCCTAACTGGCAATGCGGGCAATCACAAACTATAGAACATCTAGTTTTCCCCAAAGTTTAAGATCCATACACACTTAACGACCTTGAAAAATTAGTACCTCAGGCAAGGCTCTGTATGCAACACTGGGCGGGTGTGGTGTAGTGTCTTGATAAGAAGAAGATAACCCAGCTAGACAAACTGCTTATTTTTTTTTTTTTTTTTTTTTTTTTTAAACTCACAACGTACAAAATAATGGGAGGCCCCTTGAAGCAGAGGATTACAAAATAAGAGGCACAGTTTATTCAGATAGGTGGGGAAGGTATCAGTGAAACCTAGACTTAAACAGGTTAAGATTGTAAGGATCTTGGGAGTCCATTCTTGAAGTCAGTTTCCACAAAGCAGCAATTCATGAGAAGGACTTATGCTTGAGTGGAATATGGATGGAATGAGGTGGTTTGCTACAATGGGTGTGGCATGAACCAGTACCATGAAGGTTAAAACTGGTGGAACTAAGGAATGCAGTTTGTTTGAACACTTTCCATGGAAATAACGATAGAGCAAAGAACATATCTGTGGGAAAGGGGTTGTAGATTTAAATAATTCATCACCCACAAGGCCACTTTGACACTTTTTGGATTCTAATGAGATTTTAAAGATAAGCAGCTTTTGTCCATATATGGAAGTAGTACCCTTTTTATTCTGTTTTTTCTTGTAAAGGTAGGCAATAGCAGGAAAAAAAAATATTAGATACTTACTCCAAAAATACAGGGGACTAGACCTTTTTCCAAATTATCTTGAGATTCAAATTATTCAGTTTATTCCCAATATTAGACTCAAAAAATAGACCTCAAGTTCAAAAAAATATTTTTCATAATAGATGAAAATTTGTTGAAAAGGAGAGGTTTGATGATTTGCCTTCAAGATGATTTTTAGCTATTGTTTAAAATGATGTCATTTTTTTCATTTAATACTTAATTTATTATCCAGATTTTTTTCATTTAATTAAAAGATCTTATAATTCTTTTAGATCAATAGATTAGTGCATTTAGAATCACAATGGTTTTTTAACAAAATCATCAAAAACCACATTCATTGAAGAATTTTAACAAAAGCAACAACAAATAGGTATTTATTATTATTGAAGAGAAAATAATGATATGATCAAGATGCAATTTTAGGACATTTTTAAAAAATGAAAGAAATTAGGAAGGAAATTGCCAATGCTAGAAAAATTGATAACATTTACAGAACATGAGAAATCAATTTCCTTAAAAATATTTTTTCAGAAAAAAGATTTTAAAAATTTCAACCGCCATACTAATGTTGCTATATGCCTCAATGAATGCCTAATCTTTCCTGTCTGGAAATTTTTTCTAACATCTATATCTCTATTAAATCTGTTAAGAAAAAAAATAAATTTAATGCAAAAACGGAAGAGGTTCTTTGAAACTGTTAAAAATGAAAAAAAAACAATAATAATGACAAATACATTTTTCACACTCAGTAACCCCTTTCATCTTAGTGGCTTTATCAACTTTCTTGGGGGTGATATGATAAAAAAAGTAAAAAGATTACTTAAAATTTAAATTTTATTGCCCAACTTTTGATTTTAAAATGTAGTTGATGTATTTTTTTTTTGCAAATCGGAAAAGATATTTAATTTTTATGTCACACAAGGCTGTTCTTAGATATCTGAATTTTAATGCCTGTTCAGGGTGTGTGTATGTATAGGTGTGTCAGAGAGCCAGAGAAAATGAAAATATTTGTTTTGATTTGCAAAATATTTTATTAATATCCTGAAAAACGGAAAAATATTTCCACTATCAATGGGAAAATAAATGTAAAAGTCTTTCTTGGCCTTCCCGCTTTATAAAATTTAAATCAAATTTTGATTCAAAAGAATCGAAAATTTTTTAAAGTTCACATGATTACACACAACACACACACACATCCTGCCTTTTAAAGTTCTTGATTCAACTTGCTTGAAAAAATCTGAATCTAAAAGGAGAATTTTAAATTCAAACTTAAATAGAGGCTGAAAACTTTTAAGTAATCTGTTCCCATCCTATATCTCATTCAATGAGAATGAAAATTTCTTTCTGGTTTTAACGTTTTTCTACAAACATTCAAAAAAGACAATACGCCATCAGTTTTATTTAACAATGAAATCAACAATTTTGAACACAGGACATTTATCATTTTTGCTCAATTTTTCAACTAAAAATTTTGTGTGAAGTAATGAAATTGTTTTTCATTTCTCACTGGCACAGCAATGTTTGTGACAAAAGCCTATTTAAAAAAAAAGCAATTTGGGATCATGAACATTCAAAGGTATCAGATACTTCTTGAAAGATTTGAAAAACAAGACTAACATCTAAAATATTTCAACAGACTAAGGAAACTCACTAATTTAAAACCTGGTTCAGAATTCTTGAGAACTAATGTTTTCTAAATTCTGATAAATATTTTTATCATTTTTTTAAGATTGATTGCAACTGTTTGTCATTTGGGAAAAATCACTCATAAATTTACATACTTCAGGCTCATTTTTTTCTAAATTAGATTTAAAAGGGACAGTTAATTATGTTTCATAACCCCCATTTATTCAAATAAAATACAATGATAATTATTTAATTTGTGTTATTCTTCTTATCATGCATTAATATCATCAATACATCAAATTCATTTATTAATATCATAATTTTCATTAATTGTCAT